TGTTTCGTCAGCCTAGCTTCGAACTCTTCATCAGTACGCACCCACCGCGGAGGTTCGAACCCACGAACTTCCCGGTTACAAGGCTAGCGAGCTCGTAGACGACCGTTAATCCACTGGGACCCGATCCAATGGCCAGCCAGCCCATGAATTCCAACTTCTACCAACTCATGATATGGCGCGACCACTAGAGAATGTCATCCGTGGCAAGTATTTGTCCTCACACTCAACCTGCTGTACCCCACTGTTCACAGCTTCCTCCTAGAACCCAGGTAACTAGCTACTAGTGAGCATCAGATTGATATTAAATTGTTGGTTTGCAGGGATTTGATTGGTTTTATGATTTCATTGTGAACTGATATCGGTTTAGATTGATAAATTGTCAGAAGGCAGATGGTAAACTGCTTTTAGTATATACGAGTGTATTCCTTCAAAGTCACTACTACTGCTACTAGTGTGGTGAGGCTGGCTGCTAGCCAAACTGGTAGACAGTAATTTACGTCAATGTTTACGTCCCCAATATTGATCGTGAGAAAAATAAGAACGAAGACTGATTCAACAACCAACCACAACAGACTTTGCGTAGGCGGATACAGTTAGCATATAGATGATCTGTTGTCTGACCCTTGTCTTCTCTTGTTACATTTGGTGTCACTGCCTACCAACCCTATGCCCTTCAGTTTTTGATGGAGGCATATGGATCTTCGGGCAGGACTTCGAGGCTTCTGCGCAGTTGAATAGCACTCAAGATCTGTCAGCGATGAGGCTGTTACTTTGGACGCCGCTGGGAGGTCGGGAGAAAGTAGCATATGAAAGTGTCAGGTGAAATACCGACGAAAGTGTGACAGGGTCAGGCAAACAGTTTCCAAAATGGGAAGGACCACATATGGTCACTTTGAGATGGGGTTACGCAGACACAATCTCAATGGCATTCAAAGAGAAACAGGTGAACATCAACGAGTGCCGAGATTCTAGACAGCAACACAAACGAGCAAAGCCCTTAGAACCAAGAAGACCGAACCAACTTCAGTCGAAAGTCTTTGATGGGGGGACGAGTGTGGTGAGAGCTGGCTGCTAGCCAAATTGGTCAAAAGTAATTTAGTCAATGTTTACGTCCCAATATTGGTCGTGAGACAAAAATAAGAACAAAGACTGATTCAACAACCAACCACAACAGACTTTGCGTAGGCGGATACAGTTAGCATATGGATCTGTTGCCTGGCCCTTGTCTTCTCTTGTTACACTACTGCTACTACCAATAACGTATATTTTTTCAGTATTCTATGGTTTTTTTTAAATCGATAGTGACCTTAATTATTGTACGCACTGTAAGGACATGATATATTATCTGAAGCAAGCTTTCTCATTTTATCTACTACCTGAATGAGTGTAAGCTTAAGACTCTTTTGTCAGAAAACAACAACAACAACCATACTTTAAATTAAGATAAACTGAACTAGTACAAGTATGATTTGATTTATGCAAGTTAGACAAACTTTGCAGTTTGACCCCCTCGTCTTATACGTCTCCGTCAAGAAACTGATATATAGACCATCTTGAAATTGTAAACATTAGGAAATCACTTAAGAGGTTTGTAGGCAGATATCAATTATCTCAGAAATTTAATTTTAATTTCAATAGAAATGAATAGTGAGACTGGTGTTTTACAAGCGTAAGATGGTTTATTTACAGTGGGAGAATAAAAGAGCCTCACTGTATATCAACACTTCACTAACACGCATTTTATTGGAACGATATCTCAAATGAAAGAAAGTAGAACCTACCAAACATAATGTGCCTCAAAGTGATTGACTGATAAGCAACAAAGAAAAATATTAAAAAAACAAAACAACTAAACAAACAACTACACCATGTTAAGACGTAACCAAATGCTTCTTAGTGACAACATTCTATGCATCGACAAAAATTCAATGCTTTCTTTAAATACGATTCAGTTTTTACGCAACAGTGTAACAACAGAAGACAAGGGCCAGGCAACAGATCGTTTATTAAGGAAAGTCAACACATATTTATAGATTTTCATGTACATTATTATAGAATATTGTTAGCAGAAAGACAGTCTTCTGATTGGTTGTTTCTCACAGAAAGTTAACCTTGCATCTGTTTGCGACTGTTTCTTGAATGTCAGATCATCTATATGTTGACTGTATCCGCCTACGCAAAATCTGCTGTGGTTGGTTGTTGAATCAGTCTGTGTTCATATTTTCTCACGACCAATATTGGGGACATAGACATTGACGTAAAATACTGTCCACCAACTTTGGCTAGTAGACAGCTCTCACCACAACAGCAATAATTGCCCGAAAATATCTCCAATGTTTTTGTCTTTTTTAAAACTCAGTCCTTGTACCAGACTATGAGCCATACTTACTGTGTGAAGGTTCATGATTCTACCCAGTTGCTTAAGCTGAGGTAGGTAAAGCGGGACTCGAACCCAGTGACTGCAAGTCCGAGGATTAAACCAATGTATCGCTTTTCCACTAAAATTGAACTAATGATTGTTTACAGGATAAAAAAACAATTTAATTTTCATTATTGATTATTACTCCCTTAAGTTCTGAGTGGAAAATAAAACTTTAACAGCACATCTCATTTCAGCCTGTCGTCTTTAGCTGGTTTATAACGATTTCGCCCATAGACTCTCATTTCCTCATCATCCGATCTCCTTCATGTCATCCCGGACTAAGTTCAACTCGCTTTTAATTAGGATTTTACTTGAAGGCTTGGCACACAATGTCACCCAACGGTCTCCTTAGCGTGTGTTCGACCCATCTCTATTATCTTCCGTACATTTGTTGGGCAATAGACTGTTGGATGGTTCGTTCCCAAAATTCCTTGTCGGTAATTCTTTCTAACTGTCTGTTCTTGTGTCAAGTGAGTGGAGAAAGATAGTGATACGTCAACAGCAAGTGGTTGGAAATGCTTTTACAGTGACTCGTCAAATTTCTGAACCCATAGAATCCTTGACTTGAAAATCCCAAACTTGTTTTTTTATGCTGAGTGCATCCAAATTGCATATCGATTTCAGTTTAATGAAAGCATGTCTTGCTGGATTTGAAATTCAGTGGTTGAAACGACGTTTCCTTCAATTTTTTTTTCTTGGTAGGGATTGTTGGCGGTCGCCATTGTTGATTGTGAGTTTCCAACAATGTATATTTGTCCAGCAAGATATTTAATGAAACCTAACATTAAGCTGACTTCAATTCTGGGCGATTTTAAATTTTTTTTCATTCCGTCACCTTCCAAGTGGAACATAGGGCTACAAGCTAGAGAATTGAAGTTTCTCTAGCAGTGTTTCTTTTCACAAGATGGGGTTGCTAACCTCATGCCCGACCTTTTCTCTTCACCATCCTTATTACTGGCTTAGTGAGGTAAGGAGTGCGTCGGTCGGGGATTGAACCCCGAACCACATGCGTGGTCAGCGAGGATTCTACCACTGTGCCACCGACGCACAACAACTATATTGCTACACTGATTGTATTTTAGCAGATAGAAAAATGAGATACTCAGTACAAATAGATGAAATTAATCTATAGAAACAGTTAAATTCCGTAAATTTAATGAATAAACATACTAACCTACATAAGTTGAGCTGCCAATAATGTGATACTCAAAACGTAGTGTGATACTTCTATTCATTTCAGTTCTCAGTAGAACATATCACTGCAGGCTAGTGCTTCGAAGTTTCAGTACCAGTGTTTTTACGGGATGAGGTTGCTAGCCTTACTCCCAACCTTCCCTATTTACCGCGTTTACTACCGGGTAAGCAAAGTCTAGGTTAGGAGTTCGTTGGCGGGGGGTCGAACTCCGGACCGCTTGCGTGGTTGGCCAGTGTTCTAGCATTAAGCCACCGACGCACTTGTACCTCTAATCAAATGTTCTGTGTACTTTCAACTGCGAAACTGTAATCCTTACATCAATTAAACTGGAGACCGCTGTAATTGGTCATAAACACTTAGCGTCCCTATCACTAGCCACGCAACCCATACACAGGACTGGACTACACCGACTCCTAGATTAGAAATAGGAAGTGAAGTGGTTGGTGGAGCACGTTGACCGCTTCACTTACTTGGGAAGTACCATCAGCCAACGCCAGCGGGTTGATCTCTGACGAAATCTCAGCACGAATACGGAGGGCTAGTTTCGCATATGCCAGTTTACGCCGTCTCTGGCGCCGACTGGCTATCGACCAAAGGGCGTGTGTACTGCTCACCAGTCCGCTCCGTCCTCTTTTATGGTTGTGAGACCTGGCCATTGAGAGTGGAAGACATGAAAAGATTAGCTGTCTTCGATCATGGGTGCCTGCGTTCTGTCTCCCGTGTGAAGTGGTATAATAAGGTGAGCAATATTGAGGTTAGGCATAGGTCGAGTTCTAGGTAGGTAAGGAGGGGAAATCAATCGACGAGGCTGTGAAGTTATATCGACTGAAATGGTTAGGAGATGTGTTATGTATGCCTAGTCATCGCCTTCCTCAACAACAGGCAATGTTAGCTGGCTGACTTAGGGTCAGGCTGGAAAAGAGCTAGTGGCGGTCAAACCAAAACACGGCACCAGTCAATGAAATCCACAACAGTTAGTTTTAGCTGGCCACGTAGGAAGGTGTAGACTGGCTTCCTGGCTGGGGTCCTCGGGACGGTAAAAACAAATGGTTGGAAACAATTGGTGACATGGTTCGAAATCGTTCTCAATGACAGTGCAGATGCATCCACTCCCTGTGACTTATGATCTCCAATGAAACTGTTTTGTTTTTCGTTATTACTATTTCTTTGTCTCACACTTCTGTTTACTGTCTCTACTATGCATTTCTTCTACTTTCTTCTCTTGCTTTGTGTGCTACATGGAGGGAGTGTGGCGACTTGAACTACCGCACGTCGGTGCAAAGTTTTATTTCGAAAACAGACAGACAGACAACCCACACACATCCCCACAAAAGAGAAGAAACAACGGTGAACAACAACAGCAACGAATAAACAAAAGCTTACCATAAATATCGAAATATGCTAATTGTCTGTAACTTTCAGCATAAAAAGTGCTACGAAAAAAAAAGTGAGAGGAGAAAAACATTACTGAAAATTGAAGTAGTACACAATGATTAGGAACAAAGTCAACCTATTAATAGTAATAATAATAATAATGATTATAATAACAATTATCATTCTTATTACATGAATGAGTAGAAAAATTAAACATAGAAACATATCTGATTTTTGATTTCTAAAGTGTTATTCAGGTGAAACAAAGTACAGGTTCATGTATTAGACTGTAATAAAGCTTAGTAATAATATCTCCCTGCTTGCTAGCCAGCTTACCCACTCACTACACAAATAACGTCATGTTAGCTTTAAGACATCCTCGAAGCTTTCATACTAGGCAGGTGACAAACTAACAGAAGCTGAGGATTTCGGTTCAGTATAATCAATCAGTGAGAAATTCAGAGTAACGGTTCATTGGATAACACTATATCAGGTCAGTCCTTCTATACGGGTCAGAAACTTGCACTGGGCTCGCGTCACGAAAAGGATTTCCAACAGACCAGTGTAGACTTTCATCAACAGCTGTCCACTTCGCTGGCTTCATATACTAAAGATGAAATGGCCAGAAAAGATGAGCAACATGAAAGTCTGTCTGGGAACAAGCCAACCAAGAACTGATGGCTCAACAAATATGTAGGAGAAATTGGAGATGAACTGGACATACATTAAGGAGACCGTCGAATGACATCGCACGTAGTGCAGGCCATCGCCATAGTAGAATCCAGATGGGAAGCAACTAATGGGTCGTCGGTGCGAAGATGACATGGAGGAGATGAGCGGTTAGGAGTCGTGGACCCAACTGAAGAGGATGGCAGAAGATAGGACAAAAAGTAGAGATGTGTTGTTGAAGCCGTATGTTCCACTCAGAACCAAAGGGGATAATAATAACAATAATATATAATATGCAGTGTTTGAAGCAGTGACTACTGGGTTCGATTCTCATGAGAACATCATCCAGATGACCGGACCTAAGAGACGAAACGCACAATCTGGATTACCCTATTTCTAGCCAACAGTCATATCTATCTGTTGTTTTAAATAGAAAAAATAAAAAATAAAAAACCGAACAGTTATACTGCTTAGTTTTCGTTTCTTTTTTACAAAAGTTATACTGTTTATACTTGGTTTTAATTCGTAATGTGACCGAACAACAAACATTTCAGACATGACGTGCATTATTAATAGAAAGAAAATAAAATATGGATAATTTTTAATTGATACATCAACTAAAAGGTATAAGAGAGAGAACTGACAAACATTTAGCTATAGTTTTTTTAAACAATCAATTTAAATTTTGATATTTATGAAAGCATACAAAATGACAGACTGTCTCTATATAATCAAGTGAATGTACAATCTTTAAGAGGCGGATTCAAAACCTGTGCAGCATCAAAAGAAACAGCTCTCATAAAGTATATATATATATCGGTCTCGTAATCAATTGTTGGACAGTAATTTCATGTCAAGACTAGTCATACGTCATATATGCCTGATAGTTTAAGACATATATATTGTTAAGCAATTCAAACACATAGAGTTAGGTGTCTTAGTAATGATGAAACCATAAATAGTGCTATTTTTTACTATCATCGGGGACAATGATTTTCCTTCTATTAGACATTAACCATAGAATCTATGTAAGGCTGGTAAACTGTTGTTCAAGTGTTGGTTTGTAGGAATTTGATTGATTACAGGATTTTCATCATGAGCTGGCATTAGTTAGAGAACCATTGGAAAACCCACCTGGGAGTACTGGACAGCTGTTTCGTCCTAGTTTGGGACTATTCAGAAGTACCCACCCGCCGAGGAGGTTCGAACCGAGGACCTTCTGGTTACAAGGTGAGCTTGTAGACCATTAAGCCACTGGGACCCGATCCAATGGCCCAAGAATTCTAACTTCTGCCAATTCATGACATAGCGCGACCGCTAGCCAATATCTTCAGCGAGTCTTTGTCCTCATACATACCCGACCTGCTGCACCCTACTGGTCACGACTTTCCACTAGAACCCCAGGTAACTACCTACCTGAATAGGGCAAGTCGCTAGTGAGCATCCCATTGATATCCAAGTGTTGGTTTGTAGGGATTTCATTGGTTGCAGGATTTTCATCCTGAGCTGACATTAGTTAGAGAACCATAAACTGTTGCCCTAAGGATAGGATTCACTTTGCTAAGAGAATTCGATGAATGACTTCATTTCCAGTGGGTTTTGTGTGTTCAGTTTGCTGAAATGGATTCCGTGAAAAAGTAATCTACAAAACGGTGTGTCGGTAGTTTAACGGTAGAATGCTTGTTAATTATGCACATGACCCGGGGTCGATTCCCAACCAATGCACTCTTAAACCTAAGACACATAGTAGTTAGCTCAATAAAGAGGGGAAGTTGGTTGTGAGGCTAACAACTCGAATCCGTACGAGCAGTATCGCCGCTAATGAAACTTCAAAGCTCGAGTCTGAAGCTGTACTCAAGCGAATGAAGAAAATATTCCCAGAACATTCATATTAATTGAGGAATAATTGTTACTATCAACATGAATATTTTCTTATAAATCATGAATTATTACTATTATTAGAATTCAGTTGGAACATCAATCACGAACATTTACCGGTCCATTTCGACTATCGGACATTGATTAATAACCGAAGGCTTTCACTTAGTAAAATGGGGTGAGCAGACTAGAGGAAAAATTGCTATAACAATAAGTTAAACCCTAGTATATATTCAACTAAGAGGTTAAACTAAAACTCGATTAGACTATAATTTTCAACTTTTCCCATTCTGAACAATGTGACTTGCATTCTTCCTAATCCCGAGATATACTCATCAACAAACAAGCCTACTCTTTACATATGGGATGTTTTGTTTTCTTTTTACTATCAGTATATAAATCAAAATACACTCAGGATGTAGAAAGTGAGACACTACTATGAAAATGAACCAATACCAGTATTCGTTATGAAGTTACCAACTGAAGTATGTCATAATCTCTTATGGTCAAAATAATAGCTCAGTCACAGTTGGACATAATAAGACTAAGATGCTTATAAACAAGGCACTCATGACTCAGGCAGGCAAACAAAACAGATATCAGTTAAACTTCAGCAACCAGCATCAAAAAGCCACACTCCGAAGAAAGAAGAACAAAATAACCAAGAGTAAAGTATTCTTGACACTTTTTACATTCAAAAGAGGATCCTGACCTTAGCTAACTTATTTGGATTTCAACGTAAAACTTAGTGCAAAAATTTTGATAAAGTCTCACAGTGTTATACAGTAATGTTTACTGATGACGTTTCGAGCACAATTTATGACTGCTCATAATCATATCAAGGTATTCACATGACTTCTTAACTTCATTTATGTAGTTCCATTATTTTTCACTTGATTTGATTGGCAGTAGTATTTTCCATATTTCAGGTATGAGTGATGACTCATTCCAATTGCATGTGTTTGGTGTAGACTCGATGAACGAGAATTCAGTAATCAACCTCTCTCTCCACCTATCTAGATTACTTTTTAGAATTTTAACCCCCTCCCACCCTTTTGTGTGGTTGTGTGTTAATGCATGCATTGCGATTGCTGAGCTTTTTTCTAAATTACTTATCTTCTCGGGGTCAACCATTCTTACCTTAGCTAAATTCTTATGTTCTGACAATCTAACTATCATTGACCTATGTAGTTGACCTCACAGTCATTTCAAGGTATTTTGTAAATAATATTATTTTGTCTAATTGGGTCAACTGGGTCCTTTAACCTACACAGCTTGTCCTACCTGAGTGAGTTTGTAGGTTTAAATGCCACCCTAATTCCTGCTTTATTTAGAATCCTACGTAGGGTTTCAGATGTCCCTTCTTTATATGGTATAACTGTAGATGACTTATATTCTCTCTTATTCATGTTATTATTAATAGTTTCACAATTATTTTTATTTTTCGTTTGGCCTTTTCTGATCTTCCTAATGAATTTTAAAGGATAGTTAATTAACATCAAAGCCTCTTCTACCTGTTTTAGTTCATCATTTAGACCTTTTCTTGTGCTACTTAATGCCACTGCTCGGTTTGTTAAACACTTAACTAAGCCTGCCTTAACAGTTAACGGATGAGATGAATGAAAGTCTAAGTATCTATTAGAATGAGTTGGTTTTCTGTACACACTAGTGTGTAGTTTACCTTCTTCTATTCGTTTCATTTTACAATATAACATCATAACTAATTCTCCTTGTTCATTTTCCGATTCAAATGTGAATTTTATTCCCTCCACTAGTGAGTTAATGTGTGTGAAGAAGCTAGAGATATGTTCTGTTTTTAACACTGTGGAAGTGTCATCCACATATCTCCACCATATTTTTGGAGTAGGAGTAAACGTATTAAGAGCATTACTTTCCTAGCTGTCCATAAATATGTCTGCTACGATATTGGATATTGGTGATCCATCCCATTGTGACACCTGTTTGTCTATATATTTTAACTTGGAATTTAAAGATAGTAGATGTGAGGCATAACTCAATCCCTAAAATAATTTGTTCAATGGGCAGCTTTGTCCTATGATTGCGTTCAGGATCCGCAGTTAGTTCTCTTTTAACTGCTTCTGAGGCCATATTGACTGGTATATTAGTATCAAGACTAGTTATATCAAAACTAACCATTTTTCATCATTCTCTAGTTGAATGTCATTTAGTTTATTTTTCATCTCATATGAATTAATCAGTCTAGAATTTGAACGATTTCTAATGGGGCATAATATTAGAGCTAAGTGTTTTGATAATTCATATGTAGGGGTATTTCTAAAATCTACTATTGGTCGTATGGGGTAACCTGACTTATATATTTTAATAGTACCATATATTCTACTAACATTATTAGTTTTAGGCATTAAATTAAACCATTTTGACTCACCCAGTGACGTCTGCATTCTGCGTTTAAGGTCTGCTGTAGATTCCTTAACCTTATTCATTATTCTGTCTAGAGGCTTCCAAATTTCTTCATATGGACCCGTTTGAATATGTTCAGTAACTTTTTTGATATAGTCAGATTTATCCATAATTTACAAAATACCTTGAAATGACTGTGAGGTCAACTACATAGGTCAATGATAGTTAGATTATCAGAACATAAGAATTTAGCTAAGGTGAGAATGGTTGACCCCGAGGAGATAAGTAATTTAGAAAAAAGCTCAGCAATTGCAATGCATGCATTAACACACAACCACACAAAAGGGTGGGAGGGGGTTAAAATTCTAAAAAGTAATCTAGATAGGTGGAGAGAGAGGTTGATTACTGAATTCTCGTTCATCGAGTCTACACCAAACACATGCAATGGAATGAGTCATCACTCATACCTGAAATATGGAAAATACTACTGCCAATCAAATCAAGTGAAAAATAATGGAACTACATAAATGAAGTTAAGAAGTCATGTGAATACCTTGATATGATTATGAGCAGTCATAAATTGTGCTCGAAACGTCATCAGTAAACATTACTGTATAACACTGTGAGACTTTATCAAAACAAAAATTTACCCTTAATGGAATTACACTATACCACAGCGACAGTTGAATTTGTCATATTACATTTAGCACAAAAAAAAGATAGAAATAAGCAGAAATGTGAGGGAGAAAGAATAGTAATACGGAATAACACGGGGATTTAATAGAAATGAGGGATCACAGGGAGTGAATGCATCTATGCCATTGAAGATGATTTGAGCCGTATCAGTGATAATCTTAAAGCATTTGTCCTTAGAAACCTGAGGACCCCAAACAGGAAGTCTATACCTCCTTACATGGCTGGTTGGCTTAAATCATCTGTCAAAGATTTCATTGATTCATGATAGGTCTTGGTTTGACCACACCTAACTATTTCCCAATCTAACTCAATGTCGAGGGAATGTGATGGCTCTGCATGGCCAACATGTGCTGTAGCCATCTTAATCGATTCACCTTCACAGACTCATTAACTGACTTATCCAACTTATCTGATACACTACGCCTAACCTCAATATTACGCAATAACCTAAGAATAACTATGTATGTATGTATGTATGTGTATGTATGTATGAATGTATGTATATATGTATGTATGCATGTAAAAGGAAAGCCTAGAGATATTCGACCAAGGCAACAGCATACGTACATACATGCAAGCGGAACATATCTAAACAATTGGGTATAATAAATAATAAACTACAATATTATTATATTATATCCGATGTAAATAAATAGGATACACAAATCTTCTCTAAATATGTAAACTGATGCGTTAAATAAAGTCAACAAAAAATAAGTAGCAACGATAATAACAACAACAACAGTAGTAGTAGTAGTATTTATAATTAAAATAACAAAAAATGTTTAGACTCGAAACATGGAAATAAAAACTTTCAGGAGAGGTGAACTTCGGGAAACTTTTTTATTTCAAAACTATGATATCAAATTATATATATATAGGCATTCAGAATACAATAAAGAAATTACACATAATAAAATTGAAAACAAAGAATGATTGAAAAACAATAAATAACAATAAATAAAAGGGCGTCAATTCAAATGACTATTATGTGCAGGATAGTCGTCAGTTAACACATCCACAAAGCCAAACACGCACACACACACACACATACACACCTTTGTACATTCACACATACAGACGCATCATAAATGGGAACAAAATCAAAAGTAAAATAATACAAAACAAGAAAAAACAAATGAAAAGCCAAAAATCACATTCTTAACAGTGATTAGTTAGTCAAAGGGAACTTATTAGTGCTTCATTTGAAAATACAAGTAATGAGATGATGAAATGAAACAAAAACTGCTGAGAATAGTGAATATGAATGCAGGTGAAACAGAGGCAAGAGAGTGGGTTGTGTGATACAAAGGGATTACTGTCAAGTGAGTTGTTGGTGTTTTATATTATTATTACACAGGAAACTGAATTGTATCGAATGAAACTAATTAATTATTATTATTATTATACCATGATGTTGATGTGATCCAATGAAAAGAGGAACAAAAACTGGGAAAGTTTAACCAATGTGAAACAGTATAACCATTCAATCGGAATTATAAGTAGGTTAATATATTAGGGAAACAAAAGAGGAGATTACTATTATATATGTATAAATATTACCTTGATTAAAACAAATTTCAAAAAAGGAAACAAATAAGAAACAAGTCAATCACACATATGTACAGAGAAGAAAACTGTATATTTGTGTATATATGTATGATTACTGTACAGAGAGAAATGCAAATCTGATAATACATATACACACATATATGCATATAATACATTCTTAAATCTAATTTGATATACACAACAGGTATATACTTATTTTTATACAAGCACAGTGTGTGCTATTCATTCATTCATTCATTGCCATCACTACCACCGAGCCATGAGTCCAGTGTAGACATACGCACACGTTGAGCTGCTTTATTACGTTTGTGCTTATTATTTTTATTATTATTATTCGTACTATTGGGTATTGTTCGGTCAGATGGTGTATCAGGTGAACTATCATCATCCGGTTGAGTATAGGATTCCAGAAGTTTCAATTCAAAAGAAGGCAGTCCTTGTGAAATGAAGATGTTAGAGAAATTGTCCACATTTTCAAGGTATAATTGCTATCAGGGAGGAAAAGAAATAAAAGAGAAATTAGGTGAATAAGACCAACGTTTAGCAAAATATATATTTCCCTGGAGAATAGAAAACATGAATTCTAATAAATACACAAAATTTCACGGAGTTCTAGTAAGTAGCCGCGAGTAGTGAGATCCACTGGGGTAGGGTATGAGGATAAATCCTCACCGATGACACTGACGCTTAAGATGGTGAGTGGCTGAATGATCAACAAGTTCGCCTTGTAACCTGCATGTCCTGAGTTCGATCCCCGATTGGGTTGGTGATGGGCGCGTGCTGATGAAGTGGCCTAAACTAGAACGAGACAGATAGATATTCAGTAGCCTCTAATTTTACTAGTTCTCTAACTGATACTGATCTGTGGTCAGACTTGAAACCAATCAAATACCTACAAATTAACATCTAGAAATACACGTAAATCTTCAACCAAATACGTACCACGCATGTTGTGTGATAACTGTCTAGTTGTCTAGGCTGAAACAACCAGAGTAGGACTTAAGCCGGCGAGCCACACCACTACCTAAGACCAGGATTCTTACAGCAACTTGTTACTAAAATATGGAAGGCGAATGCCACACTGTTTAAAAATGTCGTTGAATAGCTTCAGAAGGGATTGATGTATCTATCCTTTCGTCTCCACAGATCATTCCACTGATCAGAATGCCGCCGTAGAACACAGAGATCTTTTCCGTAACTTCACTTCAGATCTGTACATTTGTTTAGGGGTTAATTGAAAACAGAAGTCAGTATATGAGTAGTAACAGTGTTTGGAAAGGTGTGGATAATCTCACGTAATCGGGAGAGTCGACAACTTATTAGTTGAATGATGACTAATCACATTTGGAAATAATCAATAAGAAACAATAGAGAAAAAGAGCTGAAAATGGGTTTAAAATAAGAAATACAAGAGGCTGGCACAGAGCTGATTACATAGAAGGATTTAAGTGAACAAAACTGACACTACAAGAGGCTGGATAAAACGTTTCTGAACACAAAGTTCAGGTTTCTTCTAATGGATTGCTAAAGTTTCGGCTCTTTAAAAAAATGCATAGGAAATTCCTCCGAATAGCTTGACCGTACTTTATGCATGACTCTGACTGAAGCCTCCATACTGATGTTACGTGACCAGAGGCAATGATGGGCTCCAGAATTGAGCTGTTGACTGTTCTGTGTTGTTGTATAACAACTGCCACGTAGTCGTCATTCATTTTTAATCCTTTGTTTCCTTTTCACTTATTTCCAAATGACTATTCATTGGTGTTGTCAACTCTCCGGATTGCGTGAGGTTATCCACACTTTTTTAAACGCTGTTACTAATCATACACTGACTTCTGTTGTCAATTAACCTGGTACGTATATATAAACCCGCCAAAATAACTGTACAGGTTTGAAGTGAAGTTACAAAAAGAGGGGATCTCTTTGCCGACTTACTTATTTTCCTTAATTAGGCATTTACAAGAGGAGTCTTCATAATAACGGGGAAAAAGTTACTCAGAATTATTAGTTACTGACCTTTTCATTAGACATATGCAGAAGACAGTTTAGAGCTATTGATATACTAAGCTCCTTGGCCATTTGCCAGCTGATACGACCTGATAAACTGTCGATCACTTCGGAAAAACTTTTTGCTCCAGGGACTTTAGGTAGACGTGAAGCATTAGCTTCATCTGATCCAGTTATACAATCATCCATTAATTTTTCTTTATCTTCGGCTGCATTGACAGCAGAAGTGGCATCTTCAGTAAAGCTACCAGCATCTGGAGCTGACACTGTAGAAGCTACTGATGGAGAAAGTGATTGAATATCTGAGTTGACACGAGGAACTGAATGCTCGAGGAATTGCCACATGGCAGACTTCAAACGTTGGACGTTAATCATTTTAGCCGTCCTAGCATAACCAATCTCAATACGGGCTACTTTATTTGGTTGTGAGATTAACTCCATATCGTCGAGAGCATAATCATTGTAACCAGTATTCTGAAAATGGATGGAAAGAAGACTGTTTATAGAAATTCTAAAATAAGAAAATCGAAAGCTATACAAAAATATTTATGACATGAATTCAAGCTTCAACTGTCTGCACAATCAGGTGCTATGATTTTACTCAGAAACTATTTGCAATCGCAACCAATCGCCAATGATTCCCAGCTATTCTGAAAGGGCTAGTGATACCAGCTGACTACCCGAACCTCAATGGTAGATGAAGCGGGAGTCGAACTGACAACCCACTTGGTTGGGAGTTGGCCGTCTAAGCCGATGAGCCACAGAGCTCTGTAGGTGTTGTGGTAGTGTTTAGTAAATTTAAAAAAAAAAAATTTGACATAAAGTGTTGAAGACCTTCTGATATAATACAGCTTGTCAGTAAATAACAAAATATTATACGGCTAAAATATATAGGATAACAGATTAGTCGAATAACGATCACAGCGATAGTGAATGGAAAAGATGGGTGGTAGAAAGGTATCCACCAAGTGTGCAAAGACTGTACACTCTTACTACGCTGAGTCAAAATATATGGTTTAAAGCATCAGGTTGAGTAATCTAAGTGAAGTCGATGTCCTAAGAAGCTGATATTACACGACTTCAAAATAGCTTTCTACACGAGTGTAATGTCTTCAGTCTAAACTTTTCTTAAGACGATTTGGTTGAAGCCGAAAGAAAATTTATATTCTCTTAGGTAACTTGGAACCGATTTTAATCATCAATTCAAGACAATGATTCACTGAGTTTCAATACGGAACTTTGCAAGAAGTACACAGCATCTCAAGTCGTCACACTCGTCGTAGCACACAAAGGTACAGAAAAGAGATTCTAAAGAACCATAAGTAGAAATGTGAGAGGAAAAATAACAGTGACACGGAGAAACAAAATAAGGACTTGAGAGATATGGAATATTACAAGGAGTAAATGCATCTGAGTCATTGAGAACGATTTTAAGCCATACCATCAATACTTCCCAGGTATTTTGGTTCTTAACATCCCGAGAACCCCAAAACCATGCAATGAAGTGTACACCACCCCACATGGCTGGCTCAAACCAACTGTTAAAGACTTCACAGACTGATGTCACGTTTTAATTTGACTAAAAATAACTCTATTCCTACCTAATCCTACCAGAGACATTGATTACATAATAGGCATTCTTTAAAGTTATTCATTTTTATACAGATCGCATGTTGCTTGTAGAAAACGAAATTTGTTCATTACCGGTGAAATAAACTAACGAAAAAGTAGGATTGTATGACGTCAGTGGTTCAAATGTAGAATACTCATCAATGCATGTGGTCTGAGGTTCGATCCCCGACCGACGCACTCCTTAACCTCGCCTAGTCGTTTGTAAGCCCAGTAAAGAGGGAAAGGTTTGCAGTGAGGCTAGCAGTCTCAATCCGAAAGAAATAAACACCACTGCTACTGAAACTTCTTAGATGAAGCTTCAATGAAACCCTATGTTCCAGCGGGAAGGCAAAGGAACAAAATAAAGGTTAATAAATCTTTCCATCTAGAAAGGGGAGAGAGGAGGAAAGGTATTTCTTTTTCACTATTTATTCATACCATGGTTGAATAATAATGTCATAGACTCTTCAAATCAGCTTACCTGGGTAAAAGCACCTTCAAACGGTAATGCGTCGTCATCATCGTCATGGTCAGCCAACGGATGATGTAATCCATCGTCCATATCATCACCATACATATTACCATTATCAAAAGATCCATCTGGAACACCAACTATCAGATTATCTATTCCGTTCACATTATCACCGTTTTCATTCTAAAAGTTGAATAAAAAAGCGATCTTAACCTATTTTTGAAAGCCCCTTAAAACATACATACATGCATACATATACACACGAACAAACAAACAAAGTAAATAAATCAAATTGAGAACAAAAAATAGGACACGTAGTCTATACACCAAACAAAGCAGTTTTTTGGAACACACATCACGCATACAATGATGATAGAGTTATTATTACAACGTTAAGCATTACAATTTCTTTTTTTGATGTGGTTTTCTTCTCTGAGCTGGATGGTTAGTTTGCGAAGCTTTCATCACCCAACTGGGTGACATCTTCAGCGCGTACTTCTTTCCAACTCACCAAAAAACTCTCTCATACGGATGAACTTGGTACGAATATGACCACTTACTAAGAGATATACCATGACACATGCATGAATATCCTCAAAGAATTCACTGATAAAAAAACGCGCAAAAAGAAAAGAACACCCAAGTGTTGGTTTGTAGGGATTTGATTGACTGGTTACAGGATTTCATCATGAGCTGACATCAGTTAGAGAACCATTGGAAAACCCACCTGGGAGTACTGGACATCTGTTTCATCCCAGTCTGGGACTATTCAGCAGTACGCACCCCATCGGGATTCGAATCCAGGATCATCTACCTGGTTACAAAGAAGACTATTCGCCTACTCTTATCCATCGGATTATGTCAAGTGCACGCACAAACATGTGACACACAAGAGGATGCAGAGGTGATTTCTTATATTAATCATGGTGCAAAATCTGACAGATTCTTATATACTCCTAATTTCGCCTAATATTAACCATATTTCGCGAGTTAAAACTGGGTTAATGAAGACAAGGGGTTTTTGCCATTACTTGATTGGACAACATTTTATGCTCGACTTTATGCAACCAATCAAATTAGCTTGTTGGTTATGTGTATTTTTTTCTACCGAAAATGCATAGTAGTCTTTTGTTGAGTAATTGGAGGAGGGGGGCGTGACGTAACTGATATAATTACTCAAAAGTGGTGTCAAAAGTAGAGTCTTTTATTGTATATTTTTTCTTCAATAAAGTTATTGTTCTCACCGACATAGACTAACTTTGTCTTCCGTGAAGCGGAAGGTATTTTTGAACTAGAACAATCGTATTCAATCTTTGGTCTAGTTACCTATCCTATCGTATTTCAATATTGAATTCAGTTATAACAAGATGCTATAAGCATGTGAGAATATGGAATCTATTAAATCTTAGGACTTGAATTTTTATTACACTGAAAGAAGTCCACAGATTCCAGATGTAAAGCTTATATACTCCTCACTCGTGCTTAAGATCTGTGATTTTAAAGTGTTCCTATCAGAAATTTGGTGAAAAAATTGACAAAACTCCTAAGTTGACAACCAATATACCTAGAAATATGAGTTCATGATCTAAAGAGATTGAAATAATAAGCAAAACATTTATAGACCACAGAAGACAATTAATGGTTAAATATTATGCTGATGATTCCCATCAATGAAGTAATTAAGGTTATGTGTCATCGGGAGACTTAGGCAGACAGTGAATTATACTTTTATACTAATCAATTAAAGTGCGTCGGTGGTATAGCGGTTAAGACGCTCGCCGATCATGCACATGGTCCGGGGTTCGATCCCCGGTCACCGACGCACTCCTTTACCTCGCTAAGCCAGTAGTGAGACTGGTAAAGAGGAAAGGTTGGGCATGAGGCTAGGAACCCCATCCTGTAAAAATTAACACTGCTACAGAAACTTTAAGCCACTAGCTTGAAGCCCTATGTTCCACTGGGGAACATGAAGGAAAAAAAAACTAATCAATTAAACTTCTTCGTGTCTAGTTAAAATCTGCCCATTGTTCAAACAAAACCTCTATACTTACATTGTTATGAGCACCATTAATTGTATTTCTACCACCAGGTTGAGTATTTGACCGTAGGAGTACTTCTCGATTAACAATTTGATATAAACTTTGACGAGTATCAGAAATCTCCGAGGGAATCATATTCATTTGACGGCTAGCTTTAAGTCGGTAGGATTCTTTAAATACAGTAGCATTAGAAGCAGCACTGTTTTCAACACCCGATGGTAAGATACTATTAAGCCAATCTCGTCGGCATAGTTTTCCACTTCTATTTGAAAAGAAAGAAAGAAAGAATAAAACAGTTGACAAGAGGAAAGTAAACTGAATTCAAGCCATTAAAGGTAAAACAAAAAGTAATCCCACACCCCCACACCCTTCAAAGTTGAACACATATGTGCAACAAAAGTGTATGAAAGCCAAAGGTTGAGATGGTGTTAAAAATGAGACCCAAAATGAAAAAAGAAACAGATCAATAACCAGCTAACTATTATACACCTTTGTAGGCGCTAATTCATTAACAGATCCTTCACTGAATAAAAACACAAAAGTAGTGTTCATTGTGCAGTGATACATACTGTTAATGAACTGGTTAGTTTATACGTTAGTTAACACCGTCTTCTATATAACAAGAAATTATTACTATTTCAAACTCACTAAAATTATTGGCAAAATGTGTGTGTGTGTTATGAGACCTTGTCGTTGTTGTTATATTTGTTAATTGGACGCTAATATAACATCTAATAATTAAATCGTTATATTTTACTGTTTGGTATTAATCTTGACGACTATTGACTAAACCCATCCGTCATTCATAGGAAATACGCACCACAATAGGTTTATATGTATGCATAAGTATATATACACAATTAACACACGTGTAACCGTCATTCAAAGTATCCTAATGAAACAGATGGAATGTACGATGTAAATTGAAATCTTATATAGACATACTAACAGTAAAAATGGCAGTGAATTAAAAAAAAAAGAAATTAGTGTAAGCGAAAAATTCAACTGTGAAAGTGTATCATGTGCTACTGGTAATATTTATCAGTAGTATGGTATATAAAGAGACGTTCGTCGACATAAAAAGCATCAAATAGCAAAGAGATAGATTTGATGTCAGAGAAAGCAAATGACACAATGCTACAGGGGTACATGAAAGACGTGAAAGGAACACAATAAGAAGGCCAAAAGTAGCACAACACGGAAAGTCTGCGTAAAATGGTGCGTTAAAGATAAGGTTTGCATAATTTGGCTATAACAAATTCCTAACAGTCATTCCCTTACCAAGCCTTCCGTTTTGTGCTGTTAAAAATGGATTTAAGGTTGAAATCCCACTCCACCTTCTTCAATCTAATCGACTAGGTAGGTAGGGATCTGACATGAAACTCAGGAAATAGCTGTGAATCTTATAGTCTGTTATATGAAGAAAGGTGTCCTAGGTAGATGAGTTTTTACTCTAACCTACACATATAGAAGGTGCATCGGTGGCACAGCGGTTAAAACGCTCGCCAACCATGCACATGGTTCGATCCCTGGCCACCGACGCACTCCTTTACCTAAAGCTAAAGCAGTAATGAGACTGGTAAAGAGGAAAGGTTGGGCATGAGGCTAGGAACCCCATCCTGAAAAATTAAACACTGCTACAGAAACTTCAAGTCACTAGCTTGGGGTCCTATGTTCCACTGGGAACGTGAAGGAAGAAAAATACATATAGAGAATGTAACAATTATGCAGGGAATCGACAAGATTTGATATACGCAAGGTAAGTGTATCAAAGGCAATATTAACTTCTGGATAGGCTGTTACACTGAACGGTTTTCGATTTGAGTAGTACAATAATTAAAAAAATGTCTGCCTTAATTACTTATAAAATTTGAAGAAAAAACAAACAGAAAGATGTTAACAAATAATAGTAATAAAAAGTAAATAAGAATTACTTTGTCCGATTTTCGCCTGGTTTAAGTGCATCTTCATAGCAAATTTTTTGTCCTTTGTCTTTCTTCGATTTCGAGCCTTTACGATTGCCTATTGTTTTGACACAAGTTTCCACTACATCACCATCCTGCGCATGCTCTGAAATTAATTCACGATTATTTACACGACACGAAAAAAAGGAAAGAAAGAAACATAACGTTCAGGTTAACATTCCTTCTTAATTGAAATCAAATTACAGCCAATCATTAGAGGGTGATTACTAAAACTTCATCTTGAAATGACCTTCAGAGTTAGAGAACAACTGGAAATCAGAGTATACTGGAAAGCTATTTAACGCTAGTTTGAGACGCATCATCAGTAGTACTTAAACATGACTTCAATGGGAGTCGAATCCACAACCGTCAGGTTACACGCTGAGCTCCTTGAACATTCCACCAGTCAGTGAGATGGCTCACGAATTCTAACTTCTATCAGTACGAGAAACATTGAAAACTTACGAGCATTGGACAACTATTTTGTCCTAGTATGCGAGTCTCGTATTGCACCTTTATAACCCTGAAACAAATTGGACTGAGTGTCTTCATGCTGCTGACGTCAAATTCCTGTAATTCATGAGGTTTGATCTTCGTCAATTCGCGAAACACACTCATATAGAACTTATATACGACTGGATTTAAAGCCACTGGCTTAAAGAAAATAAAACATATCCATTCGTCGTGTAACATAATAGATTTCTTGCAGGATTATGGATTTACATAACCAAAGATCCCAAAACTTGTTCAATATTACTGAGTTCCCGTCGGTTCTCTAACCGATATTGGCCCATCGCGGAAACTGCATTACAGTTAGTTAACCCTCGACAAAACCTAACATGAGAAATTAAAATTTTATTTTAGGTTGTTTAGTGATACTTATCATCTTAATTTTTTAAATTATATTCCTTCGCGTTCCCAACTGGAACATAAGGCTTCAAAGCTAGAGCTTTGAAGTGTCAGTAGCAGTGGTGTGTTTTACAGGATGAAGTTGCAGGCTTCACACTCGCCAACAAAGCGTACTACCACCACCGGCCACGTTAGGAAGAAAATTGCGCTGGCCGGGGATCGAACCTCAAACCACTTGTATGGTTGACTGGTATCCTATCACTGAACCACCGACGCTTGTGATACTGAACTGTGGATATATTTCATTTCATGAAATTAGCATTACAAAGATAATTTAGGTGGGAAAATAGAATTTAAACGCCGTAGTAGTTTAAAATTCAATTTTAAATAAATTCACTTAATGTAACTGTTATGTACTCGTCGCTAAATTATTGTTATGGACTGGTCGAGAATTTAATAGTCCTGACGCAAGAAGGCGGAAATCAGAAGACCACTAGGTTTGCGATGATACTTCTATTTTCCAAACACAAGGAGAATGCAAAAGTGTTATCACACCAAAAGTAAGTAAGTAAGTGTAATCACAAGATTGTGAGAACGAAATATATATATGAAATGTTCCAGACAAAGTGTGTGAACAAATCATTAGACAGTCTTAACATGAATGGCTAATTATAATGAAGTATCGATCCATATATACATAGCGAAATATAGCAGACATGTCAACAACCACCATATATGGATATGTCACCAAGCAACGGACTGTCAACAAACACTCATATTATATATAATATAATATAAGGAGAATATACATTGTTAAAGGAGACAAGTTCATACAAGTGAAATGGTCACAGACTAAGAGAGCAACAGAATGAGAGACCGACATACACACACACAAATATATATATGTGGATACATATCAGTAACACACGATGATATGGTATTAGTGGGAATTTCAACTTCATGGATATTGCCATAAAACGCAAGTCAGACGGTTAATTCCCAAGACTAATCCACAGAAAAACATATATATACGGATTCGATGATTCCGAATTAAAAAAGTTTTTCTCCAATTAACTATAAGCCATCACTATTACTAAACATGAGGTGAGAATGCTATGCTCCAGCGAAAATATTAAGGAGCTGCAGATCATAGAAAAATGTCTAATGCACAACAGATGTCTACAAAGATTTTTCAACAAAATTGAGAAAAGTGAGAACGAACGTATAAGAACAAGATTTTGAGCGAACAGTTGTTTTCGATAAGTTCTTCTTCAGGCTCTACAGTTAGAAATCCATGAATAATAGAGTACATATAGCCAATTAAGGCAAATGAAAATAGTATCAGAAACTGTATTCGGGTGCATGTGTAAGTTGAGACGATTGTCCATTAGTTAACATAGTCAATCAAATTTGTATTGGGTGTATAGTCAAAAAAATGTGATGAAGTGTGAATGAACAATTGGGTGATATAGTGCTGTTTTATAGTCAAAAGAATACAAGTGTCATCGGGGTGAGATATATGCGATAACCACAAAATACATACAAACACATATTAACAAAGGGGACACTGAATGTGAGGGCTGACCGATAATGTCTAATGATAAAATAAAGAGGCTAAATTGTAAATTGTAATAAGATGTTACAGAATTGGTAGGCTTAGTATAAAATCACAAAGGATCACAGAAATTAAGGATAACGATGGGGTGGAATAAACTGGGTGGAGATAATAATGATAATAATAGTACGAAAAATTATGGTCCCGGTGACCTCATAGTGTGCCAGGGTAGACAGAGAGAGTGAATAAGTTTCTTCTGTACACATAGGTCTGGTCTCTCTCTGTTAATCACTATAGCCTCAGCTATGGCTAGGAGGCGTAATCATGTGCCTTTGGGGAGATTGTTCGGTACTCGATACACAATTGTGAATGACTCATCTACTTTGATGCAGTGTTCGCTATCCACTAGATGAGATAGAATTGCACTATTTCATGATTTGGTTACTCTTTTCCCAAGCCAAACAGGAATATGTTCACGAGTGCGTAAAGATAAATTCCTTTGGGTGGGATAGTCGTTTTGTAGCAAGGCGTTTGTAAAATTTCTTATTTCATCTTCAATACAATCGTCGGTACATTGCGTCTAATTCTATGACTAAGACAACGAATTAGGTTGCGCTTATATTGTATAGGTATGAAGCTATGGAAGTGGGTGTATTGTCCATTCCACGTCGCTTTCTTATAGATGTTTCTCTTTAAGGTACCGTCTGTTCTTTTTGTAAGAAGGACATCCAAAAATGGAATACTACCTTGGAGTTCCTCTTCACAAGTGAATTTGATAGCTGGGTGTGCCTTATTGAAGACTTGGAGGAGGTGTTGTTTATCCAAATTATTGTTACAAATGATAAAGGTGTCGTCAACATATCGACAATAATAATCGAGTTGGTTTAGTATCTCTTTTAAAGGACCATTTTCCAATTTGGATAGAAATATGTCAGCTAATAAGGAACCAAGGGGAGAACCCGTAGCAACCCCATCTATTTGGCGGTAATACTCCTTATTGAATACAAATTGAACGTTCTTAGTGTGATCTCAATTTCTATTTTTTTCTACGAGTTACTCGCATATGTAGTCGAGTTTCTACAAGGGGGACGTTGTTAAATAGTGATGTTACGTCCAACGATAACATAGTTTTGTCTGCTAGGTCCATATCTTTAATGTTTTCAACGAAGTTAAAGACGTCTTTTACACTTTATTTAACTAACTGGCGATGTAGCAGTTCTAACAGACATACTAATCATTTGGCAATTAAATGAAAGGGCGAGTTCGACATGTCCAGAATTGGTCGTAGGGGAATTCCCTGCTTATTTATCTTGGGTAAACCATAAAGTCTAGGCGTATGAGTTTCGGTGGGCTTAATAGCGTCGAAGATGGAACTATCGATTAGATTTTCATTTTTTAAAGCCTTCAAAGTTCTAACGAACTGGCGTTCTGTTGGTTCATTCGAATCTTAACTGTTACCTAACTTTTGAAACTTGGAACGGTCTTCCAGTAGGGTGTTCATCTTATCAATGTAGTCGGATTTGTTTAAGATTACTGTACCTGATCCTTTGTCTGGTTTCGTGATAATAATGCTGTCATCAGACTTTAGTTTTCTGAGACATTCTCAATGTTTTTTAGTTAATATACTTTTCTTGTTGATCTCGGCATTATTGTATTGGTAACAACAATCAACCAACGTACTCTTAAATCTATCTAACTCGTATTGGGAGGACGGTGTTAAGTGTAGAGTTAATATTGACCAATTACAGACAGAAATACAGTTTGAAAACCTCTTCATTCAGACACTAGACCTAACACCGTCCTCCCAATAGGAGTTAGATAGATTTAAGAGCATTTCGATCCATCCTCCTTTATGGCTGTGAGAAATGGCCATTGACAGTGGAAGACATGAAAAGGCCAGCTAGCTGTCTTTGACCAAAGCTGTCGGCGTTCCATCTCCTATGTTAGGTGACACAACAGGGTGAATGATTTTGAGGTTAGGTGTCGAGTATTAGGTAAGGAGGGAAAGTCAATCAATGAGGTTGTTGAAGTGAGTCGATTGAAATGGCTAAAGCACGTATTAAGCATTCTTCAACATGGGGTTGCGTTGGAAATGAGTTAGTGGTGGTCAAACCCAAAAAAATGGAATCAATCCTTGAAATCTCTAATAGTTACGTTGAGTCATGTAGGAAGGTGTAGACTTCTAAGAACCAAAGGCTGGAGACCCTCAGTGATATAGCTCAAAATCGTTCTCAATGACGGCGCAGATGAATTCGCTCTTTGTGATCTGCTGTCTTTATTAAAACTCTATCGTTTTTCTATGTTACCATCCTTTCTCCCTCATATTTCGGCTTATTATCGTTCTTTCGAATCTCTTTCTTTTTTGTCTTCCTCTGTGTGCCAGATGGTGCATGCCAACTCGAATTGCTGCACTTTTTTCTGTGTAGAGTTCTATGTTGAAAACAGACAGAAAACGAAATTTCACAAAGTATTTATACGGCAGAAACCAAACGTCCCAAAACAATGAAATACTATTATTATTACAAATGAAAGTTAAAACAGGGAATTACTAACCTTCATTTGATTTCAATGCACCACCTTCTAACCTTGGACGTTTAGCTTTTCTCCGCCAGTGTTCAGGACCTGCCCACATACCCAATAAGTGATCATTTAATTTCCCAAAATGTTCATACTGTTTATCCAGCATACTTTTCAAACAGGAGACAAATAATTCACTCTCGTTTGTCGCTTCTGTATTGTTCCTAAACACAAACAAAGTAAAATATTGAAACATACCCATAACAAACTCACAAATTTAGTTTAAAAGTGATCAGCTAATTTCCAATAAGCAGGGAAACAAAATTTAACGAAGACTCCGGCTATCTATGAATGTTAGCATACACCCTAAGTTAATTCAAGCACCAGATATAAGACATTAGTGTTCAACTATAGTACAGAAGAGAAGGATACTGACTTCAGAAAACAATCTCCGTCACACTGGCATTATAAAACCCACTAATGTTGATTTGCAGAGACTAACTGTTCCACAATCTTGTATCAAGTTAGAAAACGCTACGACCGGAATGAATGGGTTTATGCATTAGGTCACTATTGGCTATTCGTTTAGTTCATTCAACGTGAATGCTTTAACACGCGAAGTGAGATTCAGTAGGGATCATAATAATTAAGTTACCTTCTAAACTTCCGAAAAACTGACGATCGTGCATTTATTTAGTCACCATCTTGTTGATTTCTCGTCACTCCTATTGTTCTACACCCTCTGGTTTCCAATATTCCCAGATTTAACTAATTATGCCAATCAAATATTTTTGTGCTCGCTAGACACTTCACACAAGCTAAGAGCAATAGACCTCCACACACCTTCTTAAGATTGATAGACAGAACTTGCAATACGTCATGTGTGATTTATCTTTACCATTACTAACTAGACATCATTATTATTTCTCCGGTGAAAACACTCAATCAATTACACACACACACACACACACACACACACTCCACCCTACCCCTATCAATACAACTGCATCAGTAAACATTGAACTCTGTCCAATCTCATATCACTTACAACTATCATGCACAACAGTCTGTCAATTATGACATCATATCACTCAGAGTATAATCTAAAATACTGGCTTCTCCAAACCCACAAAACCTAGTGAAAGTTATTCCCACACAAATCACATTGTTCACCGTCACCCCGTTTTCCTCACTCTTCTTCATTCTTTCACTTCAGAGTGGAACATCGGGGTTGAGTTTTGAAACCTTGAAGTTCCACTAGCCGTGTTGTTTTTATAATTCAGGGTTAGCGACAACACGCCCAGCCTTCCCTCTTTTCCGAGCTTACTATCACTTAGCTATCTTCGCTGAACTTCGGACCAAGTACGTGTACGTGGTAAGTGAGCATTCATTCTACCACTGAACCACCGACAACGAATTGTTCTCCTCACTTAACTACATCTCTTCTGTCAAATGTTGGAACAGTAGGTAACAAAGAATTGTTTCATATGAAACTGTTGTGTGTACGGATACTTGGTGACAGCTGAGTTTTTAACATGAAACTACACACAGAAGCGTATCACTTCAAGTTTTTCACACTTCATGGAAGCACATATAAATGTGGGAAAAGACAAAATAAACACAACGAAACCGCAATACGTGGAAATGTGCAAAGGGAAGAATAATTATAAGGAGAACGATGAGGATTTAATGAATCCAAGATATCACAAAGAGTGAATATACCTTTGTCTTTCAGGACAGTTTCGAGTCATATTATCTCTCGATCGATCAACTTCCTGCCATGCAGTCTACACCTTTGTATGTAGCTTAAGGTAATAGTCAAAGACTTTACGGATCGATGTCATGCTTTGATTTTACCACTTTTAAGTCTTTTCAGAGTAGATTGATTCTACGTCATTTAGCATTGCTGGTTGTCGAGTGCGGTGACTCGTAACACTACAGAGATGCAAATTTAAAGCTTTGGAACAAACGCTTAGGTATTCAAGGTCATCAAAGTGGAATATACAATGTGAAAGGTAAATGAAATGCGAACTGATGTAGTTCAAATATTGAGGATAAAATTCTCACGAGTGCATTCACAACATCACCTAGAATGTTTGATTTTTAAGTATTGTAAAGAAACTTTACCTCACGACATAAGAGGGTAATAAAGACGCATGAAATCATGGAGTTAACGCTTTACTTTTAAAATATTCTAAATCATAATGATGTTTTCTCAAAACAAAATATATCTAGGCGCTTTGTATGTATGCATGGCAATTCTTTGTCGTAGATTCATCTCTTTGCTATTAGTTTTATTCTATGTTCCAGTAGTACAAAGTTACAAAATACATAAATGATCTAATCATTAAATCATAGCAAATAAGCACTTATTATAATTATCAGATTAATTATACCATTTCACCAACCGTTAACTTTACATTCTAACTTAAAGTCTACATATTTGCTGATCAGCCCTAGTATGTATGTGTCTGTCTTATAAATTTATTGAAAAATTAAATCCAAACAATGACATTTTAACTTGTAACAATAAAAATAGAGTCAGTTTACTCTCTCTCTTTCTCTCTCTCACAGTTAACAAATCAATATTTAGCGAAGAAAAATTAACAAAACTTATCTGCATATATGAACAGAAAGAAAAAACAAACAAACAACAACAACAAAAGCTTTTTGAATTACATTTCTGTTGCAACAGCACTACCCCCTGCATTATTTTGCCCATCTTCATTATGCTGAGCTTCTGCTGATGTACCACCATTCGCTTCAATTTCCATACCTCCTGATGTTTCAAATACTGGATCCATGTTAGCATCTAATAATAAAAAAATAGAAATACGGGAGGATATTAAATTATACAAGCAATACAAATTTTAGACCTCATTATTCCTAGTGAGTGAGTGCTTTTTTAAAGGGATGCCGACCAGAAATCACAACACTTGTGGTATGTGCTACTGATAAAATGTGTACATAATTTGGCTATATATAGAAATATCTTTATCAAGTCTTCCGTCTTCTAACGTTACATACACTCACCAGAATTCTAGGTGAGACAGTGACAACTGAGGAATCGTGATTCATTCGCCTAGATATTCAACGTCTAATCAATGGGTCATGAATACACAGCCCGGTTCCCTTCTAACGATAGAATACAAAAGCCAGACAACAGATCGTTCATTGAGAAAATCAAGAGATATTTATAGATTTTTATGTACATTATTGTCAACGTAGAAGCCACCACGTCTTCTGATTGGCTGTTTTCTTGCTGAAGGTTATTCTGTACTGCTTGTGACCGTTTCTTAAAAAGTTAAGACATGTATCTGCGAATCATATTCGCACACGTTAAGTCTGCTGTAATTGGCTGGTGATTTCCTCAAGGTTAAGCTTTGCTATTATTTTTCTCATGACCCCTATTCGGGACGTAAAACATTGAGGTAAATTTCTGTCTACAATTTTGGCCTCCTCGCAGCCAGCTCTCACTACACTCCTACTTTATTTATTTAAGCAGCTATATAGTGTCATAAATTAGAGAACACCCTGTGTAACTAAATATAATACACAAGCATCTCCCGACCGAAAGCTGCTACCTTGACGTGGTGGTCGGGCTTGAACACCGCAATGACCTAATCAAGCTATACTGGCTGAGACTTATGTCTCTTGAGGTTCTACCATGCCAGGCAGGTTGTTTGGATAGCGGTTAAACAAAAAGCAGCTACCCAATCCAACATCATGATTCAAACAAAATTACAAAATTTCATGCCGGATCGGCCGTGGCCCGGATTAACAACGACCGCGCTTCCTGCTGCCGTGTCACAGGGCAGGAGTGATAAATATGCTACTGAGGCACACCAAACAAAAAGAACAACAAAAACAGGCCGCGTGTGACCGGCCTCAAGCAGTTGTCCCCTGGGCTCTGCGGTCACGCAACCAACTTCCACGGTGTGGGCAGCCGGGAAGTAACAATCGCCCTCACAATCCGAAATGCACACGAAACCTCTCTATTACTCACTCATCTTTGTCTTCATCTTCATCTCTATCATCTTGCCTTCCTTCCACTGATGCAACTCCTCGACTTGATAGCTCTCCACTTCCTCTCCACTCTGCGTCCACTAAAAACGATGGAAGCCAAAAAACCACCACCGACAGCCTCTTAAAGCCGCGCCACCAATTTCATATAGGAGCTCTTAATGTTAGGACACTTTGCCAAATAGGACAACAAGCATCACTAGCCAAGACCCTGGCATCACGAGCCATTGATGTATGCTGTGTTTCAGAAACACGCATACAAGACCCAAGTGTGGTTATTCACCTAACCCCACCTGGCCAACAGGTTGAATCTGCAAAATTCACCTGAGGGTGTCAGGAGATGCCACAGCTAGTTCACGAGGATTAGCTGGCGTAGGGATAGCTTTGAGTACTAGGGCAGAAAAGACATTGCTTGACTGGATCCCGGTAGATAGCCGAATGTGTGCTGTCCGCCTGAACGGATCAGTAAGAAGGAGGAAGGACTGCACTACTCGCCGATGCCTTTTCGTAATCTCCGCCTACGCCCCCACTGACTGCAGTTCAGATGAAACGAAGGATGAGTTCTACCAAAAGCTGTCTAGTTTGGTGAGAAAGGCTAAACGCTCAGACATAGTCGTTCTAGCTGGTGACTTTAACGCTCAAGTAGGGAAATTGTGTCAATCTGAGAAGGATGTCGGTGGCACCTATGGAGTTCCGTGCCAGCGAACCGACAACGGTGACCGTCTCCTACAGTTCTGCTCTGATAATCATTTGTTTCTTGTAAGCACTAACTTCAAACACAAGGAGAGACACTGTTTGACTTGGAGACCCCCTTCATCAAACCAACGCTGGACACAAATAGACCACATAGCAATAAGCTATCGTTGGCGTGGGTCGGTAGGAGATTGTCGCTCCTTCTGGAACACGTGCGTAGATACCGACCATGCACTGGTCCGCGCTCGGGTGTGCTTACGACTGAACGGACGTAGGAAACAGCTGGCGGTAAAACCATCACGTCCCCAGCTCGATCAGGAAACTAAATCCGTATTTGAGGAAGAACTAGCTAAACACATATCTGTGTTCGACAGCTGTGCTCACCCTGAAGAAGCTTGGAAAAATATCCAGGCAGCCATAGATACAGCTGTAAAAGCTGTGAATAAGGTAAACCCAAAGGTGAGTAAAAACCACTGGATCTCCACCGCCTCATCCGAACTGATAGATGCTAGAAGACTTATTCCGGCGAGCTCCGAATTCAATGAGGAGCGAAAGCTGCACAAGAGGAAACTTACGAAAAGTCTCCGCAAGGACCGTGAACAGTGGTGGGCGACAAAAGCCAAAGAGATGGAGAAAGCTTCGAGGATAGGCAACACCAGGCAACTCTTTGGACTCATCAGGGAAACGGGTGGGAGAAGACAAATCATTAGTGAGACAATCTCGGAAAAAAATGGCACTATAATTAGCTCCCAGGATAGACGACTGGATCGTTGGAAAGAGCATTATGAGGAGCAGTTTAATTTGCCCACAGCCACGCTCAACCTTCCGAGCATCCAACACCTCCCTGAATGGGATATAAACACAGGTCCTCCGTCACTAACTGAGGTTACTAAAGCTGTCACCAATCTGAAACTAGGCAAAGCAGCGGGACCTGATGGAATGACTCCAGAGGTATTTAAGTACGGTGGAGACAGCTTACTGTCCGGATTAACTGAGGTACTAGGCAGCGTCTGGGAATCAGAAGAAGTCCCATCGGGTTGGTGTAAGTCACTGATTATCCCCATATACAAGAAGGGAGACAAGTCTTCCTGTGATAATCACAGAGGGATTAGCTTGACTAATATAGTATCTAAAGTCTTAGGCTCAATAATCATGCGTAGACTGAGTGGTGCTCGGGAAGCACAAACACGAGAGAGCCAGGCAGGCTTTAGACCAGGAAGAGGGTGTATTGATCATATCTTCACCCTCCGACAGATTCTAGAACATAGGCATTCCTACCGGCGTCCAACAGTCATTATATTTCTTGACCTAAAGGGCAGCATTCGACTCTGTCGATCGGGAAGTTCTCTGGAGATGCTTGGCTGTAAAGGGAATTCCGAGAAAATATATTGCACTGATTAAGGCACTCTACTCGTACTCATACAGCCAGGTGAGGGCTTACGGCGAGCTGTCATCTGAACTGATGACGACCAGTGGTGTCCGTCAAGGATGCCCATTATCTCCTTTTCTATTCAACTTCATCATAGATGTGTTAATGGACTTAACCCTAGGTGACTTCAGCGACTCAGGGATTGACTTGCTACCAGGGAATAATCTCGTTGACTTGGAATATGCAGACGATATAGTCCTTCTAGGCGAAGACGCTGACGAAATGCAGAGTCTTCTAAACACCTTGAGCCGCAATCTACGAATGTTTGGCATGCGATTCGCTCCCGCCAAATGCAAGATGATGTTACAGGACTGGACTACATCGACGCCTAGTTTAAAAATAGGAAGTGAAGTGGTAGAGCACGTTGACCGCTTCACTTATTTGGGAAGTACCATCAGCCCCAACGGGTTGATCTCTGACGAAATCTCAGCACGAATACAAGGGGCTCGTTTCGCATTTGTTAGTTTACGCCGACTCTGGCGTAGACGAGATGTTCGACTATCGACCAAAGGGCGGGTGTACTGCTCATCAGTCCGCTCCGTCCTCCTTTATGTTTGTGAGACCTGGCCACTGAGAGTGGAAGACATGAAAAGACTAGCTGTCTTTGATCATAGGTGCCTGCGTTCTATTTCCCGTGTAAAGTGGCATAATAAGGTGAGCAACATTGAGGTTAGGCGTAGAGTTCTAGGTAAACAGGGGAAATCAATCGACGAAGTCGTGAAGCTACAAAGACTGAGATGGTTAGGACATGTGTTACGTATGCCAAGTCATCGCCTCCCTCGACGAGCAATGTTAGCGGATATAGGGTCAGGCTGGAAAAAAGCTAGCGGCGGTCAAACAAAAACTTGGCATCAGTCAATGAAATCCACAACAGTTGGTCTAAGCCACGTAGGAAGGTGTAGACTTCCAGGCTGGGGTCCTCGGGACGGTAAAAATCTATGGTTGGAAACAATTGGTGACATGGCTCAAAATCGTTCTCAGTGGCGCAGATGCATCCACTCCTTGTGACTTATGATCTTCAATGAAACTGTTTTGTATTTCTTTATTACTCCTTTGTCTCACACCTCTGCTCACTGTTTCTATTATGCTTTTCTTGTACTTTCTTCTCTTGCTTCGCGTGCTACACGGAATGTGGCGACTTGAACTTCCGCACATTTGTGCAAAGTTCTATGTCGAAAAAAGACAGAGAGACATAAGCATCTTAGGCAACTAAGCTATATCTATACAACATAACATTACCGACATTGTCAGAAGTAATAGTGAACGATTTGTAGTAGTTATTTTATTTGATGGTAACTGGCAGTGGAGTCCTGGAATGGACTTGTTTCAACGTAGAACTTTGCACAGATGTGCAGAAGTTCGAGTTGTCACTTTTCATACTTGTGAGCAGACAAAGCAAGAGGAGATTAAAAAAGATTCAAGAGATAGAGATAGAGAGAGATAATAAACAGAAATATGAGGCAGAAAGAAAAGTAATATGGATGAACAAAAGAAATTTATTGGACTAATGAAGCCATGTTTTGGTGTGACAACCATTAACTCTGTTCCAACCTCACCGATCCTATGACAGCAGCTAACATTGCCCATCGAGGAAGGCGATGCCTAGACATGCATGTGCAACACATGTCCTAACCACCTCAATAGGTATAACTTCACAACCTAGTCGATTGATTTATCCTCCCACCTACCCAGCACTCGACCTACGCTTCACCTCATTATACCAATTAACATGGGATATAGAACGCAGGCACCTACGATCAAAGACAGCTAGCCAGCCTTTTCATGTGTTTCACTTTCAATGCCCGTGTCTTATTCGCAGCCATAGAGGAGGAGAGAGCGAATTGCTGGGTAGTACACACGCCGTTTGATCGATAGCCAGTCGGATAACACGTCTACGCCAGAGATGGCGTAAGTTGGTATGTGCCAAACGGGCCTTCTGTATCTGTGCTGAGATTTCGTCAGCCAGTGAAATCCTACATACTCATTTCATCCTATCTGGGATTCGTCCGCCGGATGTACCCGGATTCGCGGTGAACGGTGTTCCCAGTGAGTGTAGAACACTGCACCAATCAGTTCAAACGCCAAAGCATTAACTACTAGGGCAAGTGAGCTACCTCTTGTGCAATGAATATCAGTTGTCATTCACTTTTTTTTACAGTAATTTGCATTTCCCGTAGATTAGGTATGTTGAAGTCGATATCCCTCAATTGGAATACAGGCACATCAGCTTGACATGTTCCAGATAGGGCGAAATGCGCAGTCTGGATTCCACTGCTGATCACCGTCAATCAAAATAACTTCACATCGATCCTGAAACATAATGGAGGGCGTTCGTACAAGGAGCCAGCATGTCAACAGAGATTGAGCATTTCGGTTCAGCATAACCAATCAACAGGGAATGCAAATTAACCGGAAAAATTAATATTCACAGGAATTATTACTTTCATGCATGGTGAGTATTGATAAAATATCTGACAGTTATAATTATTTTATGCACATAGAGGATCACATCAACACTAATGGATTGGCAGCAAAGTGGGTAAAAACGCTAGTACATTTTTTGGCAGGAGTATTATTTTTTAACAGTAGCGAGGATTCAATGGTTCATGATGTTGATGATTTGTTTGATGTTCTTCAAGCTTTGATATTTGGACCACAGATTTTACCATAACAAACTAGTAGAATTCACCAGTGATTATTTCATAGGGAATGACGTCGGTGGTACAGCGGTAGAATGCTCGCTGACCACGCATGCTGTCCGAGGTTCGATCCCTGGCTGACGCACTTCTTTACCTCACTAAGCCGGTAATAAGACTGGTAAAGAGGTAGGGCTGGGCATGAGGCTAGCAGCTCAGTCCCGTAAAAATAAACACCACTGCTACCGAAACTTCAAGCCTCTAGCTTGAAGACCTAAGTTTAACTGGGAATTTACAGGAATTAAAAAGAAATTCATGAGGAAAGTGTCTCTTAAATATCATCATGAGATTCAATGCAACGCTCTGCAAGTGTAGAAGTTTGAGGGAAACTACTTTTCGTTAAGCGCCTAAAGTCAGTAGACACTACGTCACCTTCATCAAAATATGCCTATCAACAAGACACAAGAGTGGAAAACCAACTCAACTGACTAAACATATTACATCACTCCATACTGTGGATTGTTCCGCCACTTACCCCTTTCGGTATAACTCTCTGGATGGTAAATATTATGAGGAAATACTCAACAAAAAACGTGCATAAATTTTGATGAAATAATCACCGATGAAGTTACCTGGCGTGGTGGTAAAACATTCACCAACAAATATCGAAGCTCAGAGAAAAAACACCTATCACTTTATTATTTATTTAGCTAGCGCAGTGTTAAGATATTTAACAAGAATTAAGCCGACTTGATTGTGTGACAAATATTTGTAAAGTATATTACCTCACTATATCACCACTTAAATCTCAATAGCATTTCTTCTTCTTCCACTTTACATTTATGACTGACACGAAAATTCTAGAACTCTGAGGGATGTCACCACTGATTTATTTCTTCCTTCGCGTCTCAAATGGAACATAGGGCTTCAAGCTTGAGCTTTGCAGTTTCAGCAGCATTAGGTTTTATACAGGGTGGGGTTGAAAACCTCACACTCAACCTTCCCAGACTACCGGGTTTACTAACGACTAAGGTTTAGAAGTAGGACGACTGGTGATTGAACCCCAGATTACGTGAGTGGCTAGCGAGTGTCTTACCAGTGAGACCAACGGCACAAAAGAAGCCGGTAACATTTGCGATTCCCGGCAAGTCAACCATGTAAGTACTAATCGGGCCTAAGAATCTGTGTTTCCAGTGTGGTATAGCCTCTGAGTGATACTACCTACAACTAGTTCAAACAATGAGGAGTGCGAAGTACGACACAACTTCTATGCGAAGATGATGTACTAGAAATGGGTCAACATTTGTTGTGCAACAGATACTGATACTATCTGAAGTAGTCAGACATCGATGTGCAGAGAGCTATCCATCGGTTGAATATGAATCGTCAAATGATGGGATTAGTGATTATTTCGATATGCGAAAAACTTACCTTCACGTAGTGTCTTATCACCAAAACTATTATCTGGGGACATAAAATTAATTGAATGGTCGTGGTCATCATCATTGTCTAATTCAAGTGCATCAATTGGCTGTGTATTTGCATCCCAGTCCTCTTGGTTGCTTGTCTAAAAAAATTGGAAATATGTACACGTAAGTTTACACATTTTAGTAATCCATATAAAGGATAAAATCTTATCCTAATCTGCCTGCCTAAGCAATCTCCACTAGACACAGCTGCTTTTCATGTGAACAACATTGACTTCATAATTTCTGTTAAGTACTAAAGATTTGAAATAACATTTTACCACAAATTGTGCGGACAGGGAGTGTCATGACACACACAACATGACATTCAGTATTTAATGTGAATTAATGAGGGATAACTGAGATGACGGGAAGATGCTTCATATCAAACAATTTGAAAGTAACAGGGGATTCTTTATACACATGTTGTAATTACAGAATTGTCTATCGTCCGTCACCCTAAGGATCTGGTTCCTGACCTAGGAGTTCTTGATTTAAATCACAATTCACCTATTTTGGTCTAGAAAACCAAATAGTATTAAAAGCTCATGTGCATCAAGTATAACACTTTAAAGAAGCAAATCAACTGACCTATAGCCAGATAAATGCAACCAGCCCCCATACGAAACCTCCCTGAATGGGATGTAGGCATTGTTCCTCTAACTGTGACTGAGGTTTTAAAAGCTATCTCTACCCTACAATGAGACGGAGCAGCAAAACCCGGTGGTAATGAATGATTAACAAAGTTAACTTAGATATTGGGTAATGTGCGGAAGTTTGAGACAGTCACATTGCAACGGTGTGAGCAATTGACTATTGCGGTTTATAAAAAGGGAGACAGGTCGTCCTTTAATAATCATAGAGGAATACGGTTGAATAACATAGTAACTAAAGTTCCAGGTTATGTGATCATGCGCAGACCTAGCGCTGCTAGGGAGAAACAAGGCCGTGTGAACCAATCAGGCTTTAGATCAGGAAGGTGTATTGATTGTATCTTCAGCTTTCGACAGATTCTGAGACACAGACATTCTTACTGATGAACAACACTGGCCATATTTCTTGGCCTAAAGGCAGGATTCGACTCAGTCAAATGAAAGGTGCTATGGCAGTATCTGGTCTTAAAGAAAGTGTCGAGAACTACACAGGGCAATTCACTCGGACTCATGCAACCGTGTTAAAGCTTATGAGTTATCATTTGAAGTACAGATAACCAGTGGCGTCCGTCAAAAATGCGCAATATCTCCACTTATATCGAAATTTCATCGAAGAAGCACTGATAGAAGTGGCTCTCATCTATTTTGATGGCTGATATTACGACATGCTACGAGAGAACAGTCTCGTCGATTTAAGATATGCAGATGATAGAGTACTGTCTATCAACCTTTGCATTTCTTTTCTCTTTTCCCACATTTATATGTGCTTCCATGAAGTGTGAAAAACTTGAAGTGATACGCTTCTGTGTGTAGTTTCATGTTAAAAACTCAGCTGTCACCAAGTATCCGTACACACGACAGTTTCATGTGAAACAATTCTTTGTTACCTACTGTTCCAACATTTGACAGAAGAGATGTAGTTAAGTGAGGAGAACAATTCGTTGTCGGTGGTTCAGTGGTAGAATGAATGCTCACTTACCACGTACACGTACTTGGTCCGAAGTTCAGCGAAGATAGCTAAGTGATAGTAAGCTCGGAAAAGAGGGAAGGCTGGGCGTGTTGTTGCTAACCCTGAATTATAAAAACAACACGGCTAGTGGAACTTCAAGGTTTCAAAACTCAACCCCGATGTTCCACTCTGAAGTGAAAGAATGAAGAAGAGTGAGGAAAACGGGGTGACGGTGAACAATGTGATTTGTGTGGGAATAACTTTCACTAGGTTTTGTGGGTTTGGAGAAGCCAGTATTTTAGATTATACCTCTGAGTGATATGATGTCATAATTGACAGACTGTTGTGCATGATAGTTGTAAGTGATATGAGATTGGACAGAGTTCAATGTTTACTGATGCAGTTGTATTGATAGGGGTAGGGTGGAGTGTGTGTGTGTGTGTGTAATTGATTGAGTGTTTTCACCGGAGAAATAATAATAATGATGTCTAGTTAGTTATGGTAAAGATAAATCACACATGACGTATTGCAAGTTCTGTCTATCAATCTTAAGAAGGTGTGTGGAGGTCTATTGCTCTTAGCTTGTGTGAAGTGTCTAGCGAGCACAAAATATTTGATTGGCATAATTAGCTAAATCTGGGAATATTGGAAACCAGAGGGTGTAGAACAATAGGAGTGACGAGAAAACAACAAGGTGGTGACTAAACAAATGAATGATGGTAAGGTATTCAGATCCCTGATGAATCTCCTAGCCTATGTCTAAAACAATACAATCTCCCTAGCCTGATCTGATTTCAAAGAACCTCATAAGTCACATTACGTACCAGCAAATAGTGATTAATGGGTTTATTGTAGATGGATTTATAATCTCATTGGGAGTGAAATGTATTTCTTGATTCAACGTCGTACACTTAGAATGAATGAATAGGATAAAAACGACCTGGGGTTATGTCATACTTAGTTAACGGTTGTTTCTTTACCTTTCAATGGCGTAGTTTGGAGTGGCATAACATAAGTAACCAATCTAAGAACAATGAAGTTGGTTAATTTGCTTATAATAACAAAAGGCTTCATCCATAGCTGAATATGAGTCTAAATGTGGTTGTTATTTTTTGTAAATAGGACTTAGGAAGCAATGATAGTGACTATATGAAAACGAATTAGAGAATGATAGCAAGTAGCATAGTGCTAATTGACTCAGTTGTAAAATTGCATTTATTTACAGTTTAATTTACCACTAGGATACACTTCGTCATTTCAACTATCGTCTGATGAATGCCACATGTTATATAATGGTCAACAACATACAATAACTTTATAGCATATCACAACAAGACAACCCCTATAACAAAAAGCGATCTTTATCCAGCTATCACATTGGCTGACGAAATCATGTGAATAACGGTTCACAGGCTTTGGGTAGCTATCAAGAGTACATTCTACACCGCATTCATTCTCTTGAACTCCTGAACACTTTTCTGTCACAATTTACTTCATACAAAATCTACAAGTTTACCTGCAGTTGCGGCGATATATATATATATATATATATATATATATATATATAAATGAGACTATACAGCTATGTGAATAAACTTGCCAAACAGAAGCTCTTGAGCAAACTGCCTGCTCTATTTACATATTTTTTCACATTAAAAAACAATAAACAGATGGAATTATACAAAAGGAAACTATACTTACGTCAGGGGCATCTTTGGTTGGATCCCAATCAGTGAAATGAAAGTTTTGCAATGTAGAACATATTGATAACTGATTCAAAGACTTTGTGATTAACACAGATAAGAACTCAGTAAGATTTGTAGCACTGATAACTTTTGGTTGAGGTATGGTCAATGTACGCAGCATGACAGGTGTCGATGAATCTAGAATTAACTCGCATGAAGCATTAGCAGTAGAGAGTTGATTCAATCTTAACTCAGCTGTACCACCCTCATCGTATGCAGCTGTTTGATGTTGAAACAAAGGATCAACCTAAATTAAGAGAAAAAAAGTAAGTCAAATTGTTGATTTCATTGTAAAAGGTACATTAAATCTTGTACATATATGAACTAAGAGCTAGCGGCGGTCAAACAAAAACACGGCACCAGTCAATGAAATCCACAACAGTTAGTTTAAGCCGGTCACGTAGGAAGGTGTAGACTTCCTGATCGGTTGGGGTCCTCGGGACGGTAAGAACCAATGGTTGGAAACAATTGGTGATACGGCTCAAAATCGTTCTCAATGGCCCAGGTGCAGATGCATCCACTCCCTGTGACTTATGATTTCTGATGAAACTGTTTTGTTTTTCGTTATTACTATTCCTTTGTCTCACACTTCTGTTTACTGTCTCTACTATGCATTTCTTCTACTTTCTTCTCTTGCTTTGTGTGCTACATGGAGAAAGTGTGGCTTTGCACGTCGGTGCAAAGTTCTATGTCGAAAACAGACAGAAATATGGACTAAGTTAAAGATTCGATGTTAACTTTGGAGAAGAATATGGTCTCAGTGAGTTGGGATCTACTTATATTCAGTGTAATTCCTATTGGCTTTCAAAAAGTGTAGTCCATGTTTCCCTCCTCGTGTTGTGAATATGCAGGTTCCAGACAATGAGAGTGAAAGTGATTGAGGCTTCTCTTGTAGTTTTCTAAATTATTACAGTAAGATTATAGAGTAATTTTAAAAGTATTTAACAGAAAATTTTTATAGACACACACACTTAACTGCATGTATGAACTTACATCAATCTTATCAGCCAGTGTTTTGATCCGAATTTTATTCAACTGTTTATGAATTATATCTCGATGTGCTGTAACCTTCTTTTTTTGCTCTGGTTTAGACTGAGCATGGGCTTCATCATCTTCATCATTGTTGGCACTATTATTATTTTCATCATTATTGTCACCCTTATCTTCGCCATTCCGACGCTTGTCTGAACGGCCAAGTCCAGTAAGCACTTGATATGTTTCTTGGTGCACAGCATCTACACGACCGGCATAGATCTTCGCACCAGCATCCAACGACGAGCTAGCCACCTAGATATCATGTATTGAGATAGTCGTTATGAATTCGTATAACAAGAAATAAAGTTCATACATAGAGTTAGAACAATTAACTGAGATAATAATTATACAGAAAAGACATTTTACTATGCGAAAAACTACTTATGACCAGAAAGGAAGTGTAATACAAAGATGATGCATATATAGGTGCATATAGGTACGTGCGTATAAGTGCACTTCTTATGAGAAGTTTTAAACCTGATTGAGGTGTGTTTCTCCCACTAGATTTCGTAGCAAAGAGAAATTTTGATGTAATGACTTATATTGAAGATGTTGTCTAGTAAGCTTAACACATTTAAATGGTTTTCGACAGAGATATCCGCTGTTTTGATTTCGTCTTTACTACAAATGTACCTATAGAGGTTACGCTATTTTAGCGTCCTGGTAATTGATTACATTGGAGATTTATTGATAAGCTGAAAATGTGCAAAGATGCACACGAAGATTTGGAAAGCACAGTCTCTTCTTAACACGGTTGTTTAAATCAACAACCACATGCATTCGCATGCAGTTGGGAATGGGTCACATTTATTGTGTGAAACCAAATAGTATTCATTTATTTATTTTTTATTTTATTGCAGCTTGATTTCACAGTATTTTGGTACAAGTATGGAATTTTCAGCATGTGATATCGATAGCCCAAATTTAGCAGGCTGACCATTGATATCAGTTGTGCGTCAGCTGGGTTCCAAGTGGAACATAGGGTTTCAAAAGAACATCTCCATTTTATACTGTCTTCTGCGGTACTCTTTAGCTGGCTCGAAGATTGCACAAAAAGTTCAAATAGTACTTCCTTGCTATTCAAACGCTGATAAATACCGCGTGATTCAGGCTTGTCAACTAGCAGTCGGGGGTCGAAAGCCAGAGCTTCTCAGAGCATAGTGGCATTTCGAAAACATTTCTCTATCTTTTCCAATTCTGGTATGAGGAACACAAGCAATAACTGTCCTTATGAGAACTACAAGCAGACAACTCACATCTAATTACATGGCCCAGTTCAACAGTAAATGACTTTTGTCCAACTTAATATTACATCAGGCAGCATTGTTTATTGAAGGTGGTGGCTGATTAAGTATGCCATCGCTCAATTTCTCTACTTTATCTACCATTTCGCGTTTAATCTTAACGCCACGCCCTTACTTTGTGTAGATAATGTTGAAAATATCCTATGGTCTGAAACAATTCTTTTATTATCCTCTGCCTTCAATAGACAGACATTACAACCAGAAAGTAGGACAACGAACCACTGGACGAAATAGTCGCCCTTTGATAGCTAGTTGGATATTTCGCCAACCTAGGGGGTTGTTGACAAGTGCCACAATGGCTTTTGGTATCCGTGATGAGATTTAGTCAGAAACAAATCTATTAGATTTTTCTAATATTAAATGGACTAACTTCTGTTGACCAGTGACTAGTGTCTACCTAAATAACTATGCAAAAGTCTGGTGACCTGTTTTGTGCATAATCCATTTTAAAACCACTATGTCGATTGGATTAATATCAACTGATAAATGATCAAACCACTTAAAAAGAACTCGAAAATACTTCATACCTGAAAGGTCTCATATTTTCCACTTTTTATCACTTCACTCATATAATCTATGAGGTGTAAACTGAAAGCATTTTTCGCCGTGATTTTATTTTCTGCAGCCAGTCGAATACAATTGCCGTAATGTTCTCCTATTTGTGCTTGCGGGATACCTCGTGGAGCTGCAGCATCAGCACGGTTTTTGAGAATAGAAGAATTCGCTCCTGGACTACTTACACCAGAAAGATGGGGTTCAAGTAGACGAGATTTTCGTCGAGCCAAACGTTCATCCTCATCATTATTTTCATCTAAGAGTAATCAGAATAAATAAGCAGTTAAAGGGATCATCTAAAAAAGGGTACCAAGTTACTGACCATGCGGTTTACAAAAAAGTGACTTCATAAAAAAGCTACGGAGAACCTCTTGATTTCAAAATATGTCACATTTATGTGACATAGCCAAAAATATTATTTCAAATGTAGATAGGAACATTCTATTCAAAAACCAATCAGTCAAAAATATGTAAGCTTTACAGTGGGCGCATTTAAGCATGAGGGATTTCAATTTAACACTGCTCGAATAAAATATCATAGAAACCATGTATAGAACAATGGACAAAGTGTAGGATCCGAATTATCTTCACACCAAGCCAAGTGCCAAAAGCAGCCTCAAGTAAACATATAACTAGCAGAACATAGGTGAAATCAATATGATCGATTTCGTATTCTGTCGTTGAGTTTTGTAATACTAATCCCTAGTGTGGAACTTTCCATATAATTGCTAAGCAGGCATCTAGGTGCCTCAGTTTTTAAGTATTGATAAGAAACCTAATAACTGCATTTTCAAAAAGTACTACAAGGACGTGTTCTTGGTGAATACATTCTGTCCAATTTCCTGAGGTGTCTAATCTGTCTGTCTGTCTGGATTCAACATAGAACTTGGCACCGAAGTGCACCAGTTCGAGTTGCCACGTTCCAAATAGCACACAGAGGTAGACAAGAAGATGAGTGAAGAGAATCAATAGAGTTTGACAAGTATAAGAGCGAAACAGAATGGGTAATGGTAGAAAGGAATATGAAAGATTACAGAGACTGAATACATCTGCGCTAGCCATTGACAACGATTTTGAGCCATGTCACCTATTGTCTCCAGCCATTGATTCCTAGAGTCCCGAGGCCTCCAACCCGGGAGTTTGCATCTCCCTACCTGACTCAGTTTAACTGTCAAGGATTTCATGGATTGATGAGGCCATGTTTTTGTTTGGCCACCACTGGCTGACAAGTATGGATGTTCTTTCAATTCGTAGGTGAACTTCATTCTTGAACCAATCGAAGAACTATTCGGTTCTCTAGAGTATGATTAAAACACGAATCTACTTCCCTAGGAATTTCTTAGTCTAGTCACCTACGTTAGCAGCAATGATTACTAATTTTTTTAAACGCCAGTAAACCAGATACCGCAGCCGAGTATCTACTGGCAGTGTAGACAGTTCGGACTAAGACGAGAGTTTAAGAGCAAAGTTATGTTGACAGCCCTAAGGTGCTACTCTCAGTACTTTTGCTACTCCATTTTCTTATCCCAGAAGGATATCACTGTATGCTGCCCTGGGAGGTGTGCACAAAATTCCGCCTTGGAGTTTCCCATTGCCGGTTGAAAGACAAGTGATCGAAACTGAGGAATCCGACAAAATTACCGAGAATGTGAACGACTGAAACAAATATTTCATGAGCTCCATTGCTAGGTAGGAGTTATTTAGCTTATTTTCATGGTACCACGAGAATATATAAACCTACAGGATGGATGACAGTTCAATATAAATCACTAACACAAAATAATATAAAACTACGTCATTTTCATATATTACATTCACACAAATCTATCACTAATTCCTCTGTCCACTGAAACTGCTACAAACTCAGGCTAATCAAGCTTTTTGAAACTAACTATGGAACAGTTGGGGAATAGTGATCCGAGCAAACAAAGCACGAAAGAAACAGGAGTAACTAATCAGAGTTGGCGAAGGTAGCAATAATACGTAACCACAAATTCGGTGTTTTAAGTAACAGCGGCTTACCTATATCGACGTAGTAGATTTAGTTTACAAACTGTCTAAAAGCAAGTTCTAACCTCAACGCCTGCCCCTGATACTTAATCGTTATCGAACTCTTGAAGCTAAACACTAAAAATAAGATGAATATCAAAACCTCTAAGAAAACATGAACGTTACTATTGCAAAAAGTAGAAGTAGGGGATCTGTCTAGTACTGTCACACCTATTTCAACATTTTCTGTAAAAATACCTTTTCTCAATCTAAATTAGTCTAGTTAACTCTGACTGGCTGCTCTGACTTCACTGCATCGGCCACTAACACGAATTATTCTGCAAATTATATTAAGTAGCAGTCTACAACCTTGTAGAATAGATAGTACTACCTATTTAAGATATGTTCTGCTATGATGGGGAGATCACAGAGCGCAAGTGTTACCGCTCCTCTACACCAAATTACTAGGAATACACACTCAATTTATTTTGCCGGTTTCAGAGAAGAACAACTACTAATATCCAAGGCGTACATTGAAGCAAAACAATTTTTGCAGATGTCTGCCTGGCCCAACTTAACGTAGGGGTGGTGCCACCGATTACACCTCTAAGTAGAAAGAACGGTCGTTAGAGTGATTTGTACATATTAGTCAGAACTTCGCAGATGCATCCACTCCTTGTGACTTATGATCTCCAATGAAACTGTTTTGTTTTTCTTTATTACTCCTTTGTCTCACACCTCTGCTCACTGTCTCTATTATGCTTTTTTTGTACTTTCTTCTCTTGCTTCGCGTGCTACACGGAGTGTGGCGACTTGAACTGGCGCACATTTGTGCAAAGTTCTATGTCGAAAACAGACAGACAGTCAGAACTTCGACCAATTCACATTGCGCACAGACATTAGTTTCCTCACGATGGGAACATGAGATTGAAAACATTCAAAAAACGATTATAAGAATGCAGAAAAAGGGTTTAACTTTCAATGAAACAGAAAATTACATGCGGGATAACATGAAAATAAAATTAAACACCCGAAATCTACATAGTAGCAATACATATGTATGAACACTATCACTTCAGAGTTGAATACCCTCGACATAATCAACTGGGATTCATATCTAATCAGATTAACTTAGCATGGCTTTACTGTGACTATAAAATAAAAACAGATATTCCTACTAAGCTGGAGAGAGCTCATGATAAACGCGCCATGCGTGGAAAGATTTGAGAGCGATGAAAAAGCGCAGTGCCTGTGTAACAGACCTCTTACCAATGTTTTCCAATTATCTAGTCTTTCAACTATTCTACGTAAAACGCGCAAGTTAACACACCACTTTCACAATTATACAACTTCAACATACACCATCATATCAATAAACGCAATGGAAATCAAGGTCTCTTAACTAAAGTGTGGATTAAGGCGAATTTCTAAGTGGTGATACAATGTGGAAAGTGAAAAATAAAATAAAAATAATAAATAAAAAATACGAATCAGAACTATCAAAATCAATAACAAAAAAATTACCATCCAAAATAACCACCACATTTCCGTTTTTCATTGGACTCCCTCCAACTTTCATCGGCATTTTTGGTTTGACGAATTCCTCATCAGAGGATTCTGCCTTAAGAGTGTCGAAAATATTAGCTTGGGATTCAGAAAGTAACATATTAAACCATCCACATAAGCATAAAGTTCACTGAAATCCCGCTAAATTCTGAATTTTGAAAAGCCCGGGAAACAAGTTTCAATATATGAAACACGCAATATGAGTGCAGTAATTTTTCTACGCCAAAGTTCTCACCGGTATGCTCAACGTTGCCTAATTTTCCTGCCAATATTTTCAAAAATTATGTATGACCGGTTTGCATCTGTCCTTATCCAATTGAAGAGTACATCCTGGACTCCTTCAATGCATGAGGCTAATGGTACCTTTTCAGACAATCTTGTCCCCATATAAACTAATAAAAGGATAAAAATTTAGCAGCCTGGTAGAGTGTAACTCCATTAAGGATGAAATTTAATTTTGATAAAATATTTTATCAAAATTAAACCATATGGTTTAATTTAATGCCTAAAACCAATAACGCCGGTAAAAATATATAGAACTATAAAAATACACACGTCAGTTACTTCATAAGAACAACAGTAGATTTCAGAAACACACTTAACTTTGATACTATGTCCCATTAGAAATCATTCACACTCTAGACTAAGTGATTCTTATGAAATGGAAAGGAAACTAAATAACATTCAATTAAAGAGTAATGAAAAATGGTTAGTCTTGATATGAATGGTCTTTATCAGTGGTCCGTCTGAAATTCCGAATAACCTACTCAGTTTTCCATGCTTGCGCTGCAAAATAATACGGGGAATATAAAGGGGTTTATTTTGCAGATTGTGAAGATCGGCCTTTTAAGATGGTCGGGAGAATGATTGATACTCATCACTTCGGCTTTTAGTAAGCGACTCTTATACCAAAAGTTACACAGTCACTGATAGCGCGTATAAAGCGAAAAGACATGAGCGGGGAAACCTAGTCGAAAATTCGAATGGGTGTTTACCATTCAGTTGCGCTCAGTACAGAAAAGAAACTCCACACATCAAGAGGCAGGTACATTCCCTTCTTGGTTACTTATTTCTCCTACCTGTATTGTGCCAGACTCAAAATTGCACAATAAATCTTACACCGTCTAAAGGGCTTATATCCTCCCTCTCTCTAGAAGTGACTTCCCTAAGATTACTATTTGGGTTTAGTTTTCTTTTGAAGCTAGTCTAAGGTTTCCCATTGAGCGGATTTATTTTCGCACAAAGACTACAGACTTGAATTTGCCAAAGATTACCATGCTATCGGACGAACCATTACCTTGAATACCTGCTTGACATTTTTCTGCACACCCTAAAATAACACTGTGAACACTCGAAGGCCATTCATCAAGAAAATGTAAGAAGTGGTTTACTCGGAATTTTATGAAATATAATCATTCTGTTATTCAAAAACTAGTTTTGGTTTTGACCCTTCTGTTGAATTTTTCTTTAAGAGACTATTATCGGTTGTTTCATTCCTCATATTTCCTGTAGTCTCTGGCTGCGAACTGGTTCTGATGTCTATAGTGTGTCTTCTTTGTCAGTAAGTGGACTTTAATCGATCCTGGAAAACGCCGTTGTCTGTGGACCGTTACATTGTCTTTTTAGACTGATTAATGTTAACAATAATGAGTGACTTTTACAGTGGTTTGCTGTGAAGGCCTGCGACACATTAAAATTTATCAAACAAAGTAGACACGGATGTCAGATGGAACAAAATGAGTTAGAATTTCATGCTCAGTGCAAAAGTAGACATCACAATTTTAGTTGTCGACAACTGAAGTCCTGATGCTAGGGAGTGTACTGCATTTTGACTCTTAGTTGCTAATATCGATGAAGTGGTGATGTTCCTCTCGTAAGGATGACTGGCAGTTGGCCTCGTTCCGACTGTTATCGTGTTCCATATTGGCGCGGCGACTGGTGAGATCATGTCTGGAATCGAAATTCAACTTGCTATATGGAGACAAGAAACTAGTGGCGGAAAAACAGGTTAGGCCTGATACAGTTATAAGTGCCAGCTTTTTTATCAAAATAATTCCCCAAATCATCAACAGTTTGTAGTGTTGCAGAAAACTGGTTTAGGTTTTTAAAGCTTATTTTGGGAAGCACGGTGGTGGGCGAGTGAGTCGGGGGGCTAGTTTACCACGCGGAACAGCACTCATCGTTCAGCAGATAAATACATTGGATATTTCATGATTAGTAATGGAAATAATTCTCACTTTGAAGCGTCTGTACCATGTTGTTCTAATGTTTTTCAGAGACTTGTAACGGTGAATAATTCCCCATAATTATTGACCACAGCAAACATCACTGAACACTGAATGCTGACGCTCACTGTTTAAGCCGACTTGTTTAGCTGAAGGCTTCCAGTCAAGCATCCACGCCATTTGGTACTCAGTCGTGGCGCGTTCGTGAACGGTCGCTAGACACTAAGCATTCATCTTGGCCTAAGATTTGGTCCCGGAATATATTTCGTAATTTGGACAACCAATTCACTTGTTTTGTTTTGCATTTGGTCCACGAGGAACGAATACGATAAGAGTTGTTGGCATTAGATCTTGCGTCAGTAAACTCCGTACAATTCGCGAACGTCAATACAATCACTCTCTAGAGACTTGTATGTGCATTTATGTATGCAAATATCACTATATTTTGTAATCGTACCCAAAATTTGTGTACCTTTGTATAATTCATAGAAACGATGTTGATATTGTCAATCGCGACAGATAGTTAGACTGTACGATAGACAGCTAATCAATTTTATGTGACCCTTTTGTCGCGATTATTGGTTAATTTAATGTAACTTACATCACGTAATGTGACCTTGAGTGCTCTTTGTTTTCTGTCACTCTGTTTGCGTGTACATGTAATTGATTAACTGTTCATTTTGTCCGTTCCTTCAATACTGTCCGAAACAGATAAAGTTTAAGTCAAGTCACTCTGTTTCTAACTATAGTTAAGCCAAGACTCTGTGTCGTCGGCACTGATTTTTCCAGTTTCTCGCGTTGGTTATTACAAATTGTTTCTGAAAGTCTTCCGGGGACCGCGTGAGGTCCAGTGTATTAAGAGCTGGACATTGACAGTTTCTGAGAGTTGGCTGACAGTGCCCATCTTAGCCAGATATAACGGTAATGTTGCTCAAGCCTGTGCGTTTTTGGATAGTGGTTCAGACGCGACATCGGTCATAGAAGATCTAGCGAAAGAATTAGGTTTAGTAGGAGTAACTAAGACAGTCTCCCTTGAGACGCTTGGTTCACAATCCTTTTTGTCTTGCAGACAGGTACAACTAGAAGTCTCTCCGTTGGATTCGTCCCTTCATGTTACTGTTTCCAAAGCATAGGCAGTATAAAAGTTGCCACAGTTACAAAGAGTTGTGCCAACAGCAGGTCAGATGGCCTCGTGGAGTCACCTAGACGGAACAGTTTTACCGGAGGTTAAGAATCAAGAGATTAAGACGCCCATTGACTGCATCGTTCCAGAAGCTCATGTAACGATCGACAAAAGGCTCGGTGGAGCTAACGAACCTTCCTTCATAAAGACTCCTTTGGGGTGGACATTACTGGGACCATACAGGAAGACCCTTGGAGAAACTAGCATAGTCAATCATATCTTAGCTAAAGAAAAAATTGAGGCTATGTTTGAACGGTTTTGTAAGAATGAGTTTGATGATGTGAGTGGTCAAGTGCCTTAACAGTGTAGTGATATGACATTGCACAAGGCTCCGACAGGTGAAACAGCATTCGCCATAGTGCCTATCAATGTATTTGAAGATTGAACGCTCAATTCATGGTTGTTTGCTGAAACCCAACTCCTCCATATTTTTCGCGGGAGTCATTAATACGGTAGTCATTGTATCATCGTTCACTGTTAGGTGGAAGTCAGAAAACTATCAGAAGTATTATCGTGATTTATTGCTATAACATTTATTCCTAGGACTTGTGTATAATAACCTTATTGTTGGTTACCCATTGGCGTAAGAATAAAGTATTCTCGAGTCACCAATCTGTGTTCTGGTTTTTTCGCGCTGATTATTACAAATTGTTTCTGAAAGTCATCGAGTGACAGCGTGAGGCCCGGCGTAGTAAGATCTGGACATTGACGGTTTACGAGAGTTGGCTGACAGTTTCTGATAGTTTCCGTTCGTCTTTCCTGGTGCCTGCAAGTCTTCTTTGGACAAGTATTATCTGGAGCTTTACTGGATTTTTTGGTCAAGTTCAATGATGCCTGGGTCAAAGAAGGGACAAAGCGTCTTGGAAGCAAGCAGGAAAGTAAGTAATGCTGAGTTGCTTGTTAATTGTAATGATATGTATGATGCTCAGCATGATGAGTTTATTGTTCATGGTTCGCCGTTTAGGGGTAGTATGGGTTTAAATTTACCTAAATTCGAGCCTCGGTACTTTCATGGAAACCCAACCGACTATCCAAAGATTATCAAAGAGTTTGAGATCATGTTCAGTGGATTTTTATTAAATGACGAAATGGGGTTAATATATTTGTCGAGGTACTGCACTGGAGTTGCTTCAAGAGCTATACAGTGCTGTAAGCTCATGCCCCCTACTGAGGGACACTCTGAGGCCAGAAATCTACTACGTCAAAGGTTTGGAAGACCCTCGATGATTGTAGGGAAATTATTCGAGGCTGTTAAGGGTAATGGTGGTCAGTTACAAGGTGACTCCAAGGCACTATCTGAGTTTTTGCATAATCTGCCGACTTACAAGAATGCTTTGATTTCGATGAATTGCATGAGTGATCTGGACTCAAGTTCCGTTCTAGAGGTAATAGCGAGACGCTTACCTACTCGACTGCAAAGGAAGTGGGTGAAGATAAGCTCCCGTATGGAGGATGAGGGTATCGAGACAAAGTTTGATATTCTGAAACTGGTAAAAGGTAGTGTCAACCAATCTATGAGCAAGTTTTCCAGTATATTGCATCCCATCCGTAGAATAGAGCAGTCTGAGAGCAAAACGCAATCATTGATGACGAAAGGGTCTCAGAAAGGTGGATATCGAGAAGGCTCTATGGTATCTAGTAATGCATATAGACTTAGTGAGTGTGACAGCTTTCGTGTGACATCCTCAAGTT